ACTACTAGAGCTAATCAATGAATTTGGTAGAGTAGCGGGATACAAAATTAATGCACAGAAATCTCTTGCATTCGTATACACTAATGATGAAAAATCTGAAAGTGAAATTAAGAAAACACTCCCATTTACCATTGCAACAAAAAGAATAAAATATCTAGGAATAAACCTACCTAAGGAGACAAAAGACCTGTATGCAGAAAATTATAAGACAATGATGAGGGTTTCCCTGGTGGCACAGTGATTGGGAGTCCGCCTGCCGATGCAGGGGACGCGGGTTCGTGCCCTGGTTCGGGAGGATCCCACATGCCGCAGAGCGGCTGGGCCCGTGAGCCATGGCCGCTGAGCCTGCGCATCCGGAGCCTGTGCTCCGCAATGGGAGAGGCCACAGCAGTGAGAGGCCCGCGTACCGAAAAAAAAAAAAAAAAGACACTGATGAAAGAAATTAAAGATGATACAAATAGATGGAGAAATATACCGTGTTCTTGGATTGGAAGAATCAACATTGTGAAAATGACTCTACTACCCAAAGCAATCTACAGCTTCAATGCAATCCCTATCAAACTGCCACTGGCATTTTTCACGGAACTAGAACATTTCAACTTTTAGAACCCTTGCCATCACATGTACTACATCAGACAGATGTGGCTAACTTTGCAGCTTCCTGAGTCATCTTGAACAAGCTAAGTGACCTGTGCCTCATCTGTAAAATACTTGTCCCCAAGGTTGTCATGGGGGTGAAAGCGGCCAAAGCCACAAACAGCCCTGTGTAGAGCTGCCACTCTGGGAGCCTTTCAGTTTTTAAGCCCAAGGCCTGGGAGTGGTTGGATGGGCACAGTTGACTGCATAGGTTGCCATAGCTCAGCATGTACCAGCATGAGCACTGTTTAGAAGCTGGAGGTACAAGTGGTCAACAAGACAAGTGTTGGCCTGGTTGGGGTGACGGGGAGGTGCATCAGGGTCAGAGCCTGGAGAATTTCTCACGAGCCTGAAACCGTCTCTCCCTGCACTGGTACCACCAGGCTACAAGTGGCTGGATCAGGCTCCTGGGCCCACACATGTGGGACCTGAAAAATGTCATTAGGTGCTTTATCATCACTCTGTCCTTTATGACCTGAAGGTTTTGTAAATATTGCCGTACGTTTTAAACTGGGGCTACAGATGAAACGGGCCTCAATGCCACGTGTTACAACGGGCAGAAGGGGACTGGGGAGAGGATATTATCCACTTGCCACTCAGCCGCCCTCCACTTGGCAGCCAGACCCATCTTTGGTACCGCCATCCACTCAGAATCCTTCTGTGGCTTCCCACTTTCTTAGCATAAAGAACAAAACCCTTAACACGGCCCATAAGGCCCTGCAGTCTGGGCCCCACCTACACCTGGCCTCCTCCTCCAGCTGCATCTCTGATCACTTTATCAGCAGCCCTCTGTGCTCAGGCATGCTGCTCCCTCCAGCCTCAGGACCTTTGCACGTGCTCTTCTAGACCGTTCCTCCTCCCTCATCTCCCTATTCCCAGGTTAACACCTGCTCATCCATCAGATCTGAGCCCAACCTAGACTTGCATTCCAAGTTCCTCAGGCCACAGGACATCCCCAGGTGTGTGGGAGGTTTAGCTCAAGGTGGAATTATACACTATATATTGCTGGGATTAATTTCAGCCTGTACCCTGTCACCCCCCCCACCCCCCCCCCCACACACACACACCTTGCAACTGTAACCCTCATGACTTCCGGGACTGGTCTCAGTTTGCTCATAGGTGCTCAGTAATGAAGTCTACCTTTGGGAGTAGCTCTTGAGCAAATATTGGGACCTTGCTTTGTATAAAACCGTATTGTCCTTCATCAAAAAAAAAAAAAAAAAAAAAACACTGAAGTCACTTCTTAGTTTTGGGGGTAGGTGTTCATTCATTCATCCTTTCACTTACTCTGCCAGGCACTGTTCTAGGAGCCATCAGGGAATGTGCCACAAAAGCCACTGCCCTCAAGGAGCTTTCTGTAGTGGGGCCACAAACAAATAAACCTGTAACCCATTGTCAGGTGGTAGCAAATTTGATAAAAGTCACGCAGGGTCTGATGGGAGCAGGCAGTGGTGGCACCTGCTGTCTTAGACCTGGATGAATAAGGAGGGAACTCTGCTGGGGAGGTGGGGAAGCACAGATGTTCTGAGTGGCATCCACTCCCACCCTGAGCCTCCTTGTCGGGGAAACAGGCACAGGGGCAACCAGCCTTTATACCTGAGAGGAGGTGAGGCAGCCCAGAGAAAGCCTGGTGGGAGGTTGGGGGTGGCTTCAGAGGTGGCAGGCTGGACAAATCCAGGAAGCCTCGTGGCAGCTCCTGAGGCCCTTTACTAAAGTGGAGAAGAACTTGGGTTTGAAGTCACACGTGCCTGTGGAGGGTATGTCCTACCTGGTCCTGCCTTTTGCCAGCTATGTGGCCCTCACCTCTGTGAGCCTCAGTTTTCTCGTCTGTAAGATGGGGACAGTGTTAATCTCTTCCTTGTAAGGTTGTTGTGAGGCTGAAATGGGATCAGGATGCTTTTGAAGAAGGGCACCATTTGGACATGAGGACCCACATCAAGAAAAAAAACAGCATGAGGTGAGGCCCTAGATGAGAAACCCAGCATGGGCTGGAAGCAGCAGATGGTTCAGTTTGGGGCAAGGCTGGCTGGAAGAAGGGAAGTGGAAGAAAACAAAGTTGAAAAGTAGGGTTGTTCCTGAACCAAGCTCAGCTCCGCTCACCCACATGTAGTAAAGGCAATCTACTGACACTGGGTTGTGGTGAAGGAAAGCTCAGCGTTTATTGTAAGGCTCCAGACAAGGAGTCTGAGGAAGTCAATGCTCAGAAAAAGCCAAACTCCCCGTTGGGTTTCAGGGAAACTTTTTTTTTTTTTTGATATATAGTTGATTTACAATGTTGTTAGTTTCTGGTGTATAGCAAAGTGATTCAGTTATACATATGTGTATATATATATATATATATATATACACACACACACATTCTTTTTCATATTCTTTTCCATTATGGTTTATTACAGGATATTGAATATAGTTCCCTATTATAGTAATACCTTGTTGTTTATCTATTTTATATATAGTAGTTTGTATCTGCTAATCCCAAACACCTAATTTATCGCTCTCCCATGCCCATTCCCCTTTGGTAACCATAAGTTTGCTTTCTATGTCTGTGAGTCTGTTTCTGTGTCGTAAATAAGTTCATTTTAATCATATTTTAGATTCCATGTATACGTGATACCACGTGGTATTTGGCTTTCTCTGTCTGACTTATTTCACTTAGTATGATCATCTCTAGGCTATCCATGTTGCTGCAAATGGCACTATTTCATTTTTATGGCTGAGTAGTATTCCGTTGTGTAGATATATCACATCTTCTTGATCCCTTCATCTGTCGATGGACGTTTAGGTTGCTTCCATGTCTTGGCTGTTGTAAATAATGCTGCTGTGAACATTGGGGTGCATGTGTCTTTTTTAATTATAGTTTTCTCCAGATATATGCCCATGAATGAGTTTGCTGGAGCATATGGCTACTCTGTTTTTAGGTGTTTTGTGGGTTTTTTTGTGGCCGCAGCATGTGGGATCTTAGTTCCCTGACCAGGGATCAAACCCACACCCCCTACAGTGGGAGCATGTAGTCTTAACCACTGGACCACCGGAGAGTCCTATTTTTAGTTTTTTAAGGAACCTCCATACTGTTTTCCGTAGTGGCTGCATCGATTTACGGAGAAGGATTTTTGAAGGCAAGATGAGGAAGGGGAGTCACAGGGTGTGTGACCAGCTCGTGCACAGTTCTCTGATTGGTTGATGGTGAGGTAACGGTGTCACAAGTGTTAACGTTATCAATCCTCAGGCTCCAGTGGGTCTGGGGAGCTACATGCTCAGGGTCATCAAGTAGTTAACTTCTTGCATTTGGTGGGGGTTTTAGCATCTGTAAAACAACTCAGGAAACGTGCATCGGATACTGTTATCTAGGTACCTCAGAGAGGAGCTAAAGATTCTGTGACTGCCGTATGGCTGATTTACTGTTTAAATTATTACCCGTTCTCCTGGCACAGCTACTACATTTGTCACTACACAATCCTTTCAATCATTAATTCTTGAGCCAGGCTTTTGTGACTCAGGGGAGGCCTGGGAGACTACCGCTTTTCCATAAACAAGAGGCAGGCAGAGGACATGGGGGAAGGCGTCTGTCGCAGGAAAGCCCCACGGGGTCCTGCTCGGTTCAGGGTGTTAACCTGTGGACAGATGGAGCTAGTGAGATTCTAATTCGGACGTTCTCAAATTGTGTTTGAAATCTTTGGGGCCACCTCAGTGTATAAACTAGACCAAAGAGGAGCAGTGTAGCCTCGTAGTTAAGATGGCTGCCCTTGGGCTAAGACCCAGGTACAAGTTTAAATCCCACATCACTTATCCAGTGACCTTGACATTCATTTCTCAGGGCCTCTTTCTCCATCTGTAAGACAGAGATAATAGCACCTACCTGGTAGGATTATTGGGAGGAAATGAGATGATGCATGGAAAGGGGTGGCATTTACTAACATTGACCAAGTATTGACTGGTACGATTTTTTTAATTAAAAACATTTTTAATGGTGATGAAATAGACACAACATAAAATTTGCCATCTTAACCATTTTGAAGTGTGCAATTCAGAAGTGTTAGGTATAATCACATTGTTTTGCAGTCGATCTCCAGACCATTTCAACTTGCAAATCTGAAACTCCGTACCCACTAAACAACAACTTCCCATTCCCCCTCCCCCAGCCCCTGGCAGCCCCCACTTTACTTTCTGTCTCTATGATGTTGCTTACTCTGAGTACCTCATATAAGTGGAGTCATACCGTATTTGTCTTTCTGGGACTGGTTGATTTCACTTAGCATAATGTCCTCAAGGTTCAGCCATGTTGCAGTGTGTTAGAATTTCCTTCCTTTTTTAAGGCTGAATAATGTTCCATTGTATGTATATAACATTTTGTTTATCCAGTCATCCATGGATGGACACTTGGGTTGCCTCCACCTTTTAGCTATTATGAATAATGCCACTATGAATATGGGTATACAGATATCTTTTTGAGACCCTGCTTTCAGTGCTTTTGGGTGTGTAGCCAAAAGTGGCATTGCTGGGGCATTCACTGTTGAAATTTGGAGCTGGGCGTGGATGGCTCCCCACTGTCTCTCCTCTTCCGCATCAGAGTAAGAGAGGTCCCTGGGACCTTGTGGAGCAGTTTGAAAACCAGTAGGTCAAATGAACCATTAGAGATTTTGCCATTTCTCCCCCTTCCTTCCCAGGAAGACTTCCCTCTTGAATTGTTTTTTAATTATCCCTAGTGGAAACCACCCTTCATTCAGCAAATGTTTATGAGTGCCTGCTGTGCTTCCACGTGGGCAGAGGGAGATATAAACAATAAGCAATAAACATAAACAAGGAAAGGATGTAGTGTGTCAGACAGCGATGCGTGCTCTGGACCAAGCAGAGGAGCCAGTTAAAAGCGATTGGGATGAGAGGCTGGGGGCAGCATGGCTTCCCTGAGCTGTGAGATTTGAGCAAAGACTGGAAGGAGATAAGGGAGTTGGTCATGTGGTTATCAGGGGAAGAGCACTTCCGGCAGAGGGAACAGCCAGTGCAAAGGCCTTGAGGTGGGAGCATGCATGGTGGGATCCAGGAGCAGCAAGGAGGATGGTGTGTCTGGAGCAGAATGAGTGGAGGGGAGGGGAGGAGAAGGGTGCGCTACATATGGCCCGGGTGCCTTGATGGTGACTGTGGGTGAGAAGGGAGTCACTGAAGGTTTGGAGCAGGGAAGGCACATGATCTGATTCTAGTCTGAGGTGGAACTTTCTGGATGCTGTGGGGTGGATAGCTAGGGGTGAGGGCAGAAAGAGGCGGGAGACTGGTGAGGAGGCTCCTGCCAGAGAGATGATGGCAGCTTGTACGAGGATGGGAGTCAGGGAGGAAGGGCGCAATGATAAATGTGGACAAAACGTCCTGCAGCCTGGGCATCCACCCCGATAGCACACTGTTACCCTCCCTGCGCCAGCACCCCGCCCTTCCTCCAGGCCGCTGAAGTGAGGTTGGGATGGGAACTTGCCCTCCATGCCAACATCCCTTTTTTTTCTTTTGGTCTGTAGTGGGATTGTCCAAAACCCTCTGGGTTCTTCTATGTTGGAACTGTTGCCATGGAAACCTCCTGAGTTGCTGCAGTTACCACTGACCTCCAGTTTAACTTCCAGATAGAGGTATAGAACGAATGGGTTTGTCTCCTGAAATGCTGAGAGTGGGGAGTAAATTGGGCCTGCGTAGAATCTCCACTTCTAGGACCATGTCAAGATTGTCTTACTCTGTGTGTGTGTGTGTGTGTGTGTGTGTGTGTGTGTGTGTGTGTGTGTTTTAACTTCGGACTACAATCTTCAGAGTTTCTGGCTTAAGAACAGTGCTGCAGCTGTATTTGTTATAAAGGATTTCTTCAGCCAGATGTTCTTCCTTCTCCTTCTTGGCTCCAGAATAATTAGTCCTCAGCCCTCCTGTGACACGGTAGCCCTCTCTCTGGTAATGATTATCTCACTGTACTGCAGACTCATTAAAAAATGCAGCTGTGGCCAGTTAACTCAGAAAAAGAGGAAGAGAGAGAGAAAAAGAACGTCACCCCCGACCCCCACTGGGCTCCCCCCCACCCCGCAACACACACACACACACACACACACACACACACACACACACACACATCAAATTTGACCTTGGCCTTTACTGACTGCTCCAAGTTAAAAAAAAAAAAAAAAAGCCACAGCTGACTCACGTGTAAGAAAAACAAAAGAAGTTCATTCTTGCATGAGATCTTCTAAAGACCCAGGTCCCGGAGTTTTAAGGATGATTTAAAGGATTTTCAAGGATGATACTGACCACATTTGATTTTCTCCTTGGTGCTGACTTTGGAATTTTTTCTTGTTCCGAGAAGAAATCCCACTGCATCGTTTATGGTGTCCGTCAACAAATGTGGGTTGAGCACCTCCTGTGGGTGCCTGCAGAACCCAGGTCAGATGTTTGGGAATGACCGTCTACCTCCACTACTGACAGAAATAACCCAGTCCGTGTTTTCTTTGGTGACAGATAACGTGACTGGTGAGAGAAAAATCATGATCGTGGTGCATCAAAACGTGGTCCCGCTCCAGACGAACCGCTTCCGTCCCACTTCTGGGCCTTGCAGCCTAGCCGTTGACTGGTGTCCTCACCGTGTACATGTTGTTTCCCTGAGAGCTGGGGCCCTTCTGGGTCAGGTGTGGATCTTTCTCAGGGTTCCTTGGTGTCTTCACGGCACTTGGGCAGAGACAAGACCCCCAGGGAGTTGGGACTTACTCCATCCATTAGGGATGTCCTGAGCCCCGGGTGCTGCTGGACTGGCCCTGTGCACACGAGGTGACCCCAGGCACACAGACACTGCTAGCCCTGATCAGCGGGGTCTTTTTCTCACCACAGGAACCCAGCTCGCTGTCTCAGAATCAGTCCAGCTTCTCAGACGTATTTGAGAATATCAGACTGGATCCTGGTCCCTAATCAGAACAAGGGGTGGAGGCCCCCGAGGACCAGCATACACAGTTTAGGTGTCACACCACCCACGGCTGCCACCACACTCCCTCAGCTGGAAGAGTCTGGGGCCCATCCCTTCCGCCTGGACAGTCCATGGCGTTGGAACCCTGGACTCCTCCATCCCACCGGCATGGATGGCTGAGAATTGCCCTTGTCCATCTTGTGGATGACAAGACCTGTTGGTCAGAGGAACGGGACTTCACTGTGACCTGAGCCCCACTGGCTTGGCTGGACCACATGGGGCCAGGGCTTTCTGAGACTAAGCACTCCCCTTCTAGGGGTCAAGAACACAGCTGTTGGGCTTCCCTGGTGGCGCAGTGGTTGAGAGTCCGCCTGCCGATGCAGGGGACACGGGTTTGTGCCCCAGTCCGGGAAGATCCCACATGCCACGGAGCAGCTGGGCCCGTGAGCCATGGCCACTGAGCCTGCGTGTCCGGAGCCTGTGCTCCGCAAAAGGAGAGGCCACAACAGTGAGAGGCCTGCATACCGCAAAAAAAAAAAAAAAAAAAAGAACACAACTGTTTTTAATTCTTTAAAAAAAATGTTTTTATTATAAAGGCTCTAATAAGCTCATGACAGAAAATGTCAAAAATTCAGAAAAATAGAAAGAATAAAAATCGATTACTTCTAGGCCCACCACCAAGAGACAAGGATCATTAGCATTTTGATGTACTGCCTTGTGATCTTTTTGCTCTGTGAAACATTTTTTAAAAACATAACTGGAGGGCTTCCCTGGTGGCACAGTGGTTAAGAATCCGCCTGCCAGTGCAGGGGACACGGGTTGGAGCCCTGGTCCGGGAAGATCCCACATGCCGCAGAGCAACTAGGCCCATGTGCCACAACTACTGAGCCTGCACCCTAGAGCCCGCGAGCCACGACTACTGAGCCCGCACGCCACAATACTGAAGCCCGTGGGCCTAGAGCCTGCGCTCCGCAACAAGAGAAGCCACCGCAATGAGAAGCCCGCGCACCGCAACAAAGAATAGCCCCCGCTCGCCGCAACTAGAGAAAGCCCGCGCGCAGCAGTGAAGACCCAACACAGCCAAAAATAAAAATAAAAAATAAAATAAAACATAACTGGAATCGTACTGTATATCCAGTGATGTACTGTTAACCACCTCCCTGGAAAATAGAATCCCTTTGTTTGTAGCACTTTCCATTTCTGTGGTGGAAATACTCCCTCTGTGGCCCATTTCAGGCTCCCAGCATCACTGAACACAGAGCTGGGAAGAGATGCCAGTATGAACCGGCATCAGTACACCGTATTATAATTTAAAATCGTATCTATTTGTTCTGATCTTGTAAACAATACACAGTCATTATTGAAAATTCATAAAACTTGAACATATAAAGAAAAAATTAAAGTCATCCAGAATTGGATAACCACCACCCCACCCCCCCGGCTTAGAGACAGTCACTGTCACCATCCCAATGTAAGTCCAGCAGTCCCCTCTGTACAGATGGAGACATAAACAAAATAACTGTCTTCAGAGTTGAAAAGCAATACGTATCTGTGACAGAATATTGGGGAAATCCAGAAAAGTCTCTGGTATCTCACCTTTCAGAGATCACTATAGAGGCTATTCATCTCGACATTTTTCTTCTCTGTGTCTTTTTAATATGGGTGGACTTGTGGCTTGAATCTCCTGGTTTGCAGGCATAGTATATACATTCTCATGCCTCATAAGAAGGTAACCTCCAGGGGAAGGGTGTTATCACTACTAATTGATTAAACACCCTACGGAAGCTTGAGAGGCAGAAAATATTCTGGTTCCTTGAACATGGCAAATGGCCCATTAGGATGAAGCTCAGGTGATTTGAAGTTTGAGGTGGTCCCTGAGCATCTTTCTGGCTCTTCAGAAGCATCTTCTCTCTTCTCCTGCTGGGCTCTGGGACATCCCTGGGTAATTCCAGATGCTTGGCCCTTGTTCCATTCTCCCTTTCTCATCTGATGCTTGATGGGAGGGTAAGAATAGGAGTGCCTTTCCGGAGGGAATAACCTAGCTCTTGCTTAAGTCTGAACACTAGTTCATTCGTCGTGTCACGGGCAATTTCTGAGCACTCACCCTGTGGCAGGTAAGAGGTTGGGCACCAGAATACTGATATGGAGTAGATCCGGTGCCTGCCCTCTACTGCCAGGCTAACCAAGGAGCCAGTGCAGCACCCACGGCTCAGGGTAAAAGGACTTAGAACCGACAGTCCACGCACAGCGCCAGGGCTGTGCCCAGTGAATGATAGCTGACTGCAAACCTGCAGGGGCAGAGGCCCAGAAGAGTGGTAGTGGTGGTAGTAGGGTTAGCCCTGAGCCCCGGGCTAACCGATCCCTCTTTCCCACAGGCCTCCTCCAGATCCCACACCCTATGGACCCATGGGCTTGTTTTTCTCGTTTGCTCCTCCAGGGAAATTTGCATATTTCTCCAAAGAACCTTCAAGAAGCTGGACGGCCTGTTTTCAGACTTAGAGGGGAAGCCCACGGTTGTTTCTTGAAATCTGGGTAAGTATTATTTAAGGTTTCTTTCTCTTCAGAACCCTTGTCATTACTTAAAATGATCTTAATTTAAATGTCGTGAGTTTACATGTTGTCTGTCTCCCCAACTAGAATGTATCTCTATGGTGGAAGGTGGTTGTCTGTTTGTCTTAGTCACCGCTGTGTCCCCAGCATGTAAGACAGCACCTGGTACATATTTATTGTACGTATCTGGTACATATTTGTTTCTTTATTTATTTATTGGTTTTTGTGGGGGTTTTTAGCTGTGCTGTGTGGCATGTGGGATCTTAGTTCCCCGACCAGGGATCGAACCTGTGCCCTGGAAGTAGTGGAAGCGTGGAGTCCTAACCACTGGAACGCCAGGGAATTCCCCGGTAGATGTTTATTAAATTAACTAACTGATTGGTTTGGAGTGGAGGCGAATATCTATTTTGGATTTACTTAGAACTTAAGGTTTTCATATTCTCTAGTGACATCCCACCTTTCCTTTTTAAATAATTATAGATTCACAGGCAGTTGCAGAAGTCATACCAAGGGCTCCCGTGTACCCCCACTCAGCTCCCCGCATGGCCATTGCCTTTGAGGTTAAGTCGGACTCCTTAACTGGGAGGACTTGGTCCTGCAGGGTGTAGCCTCTGGCAGCTTCCCCTCCAACCTCATTTCTTCCCTCCCAACCTCTACACCGACCCATTGTCCAAGGCCTGGCTACACTAAGCATCCTTTTGGTTCTTCAAAAGCATCCTCTCTCTTCTCCCTCTGGGACTTGACAGATGCTATCCCCTCTGCCGAGAACATTCTCTCCCCACTGACCCCATCCCTGTCTGATGTCACCTTCTCTGGGAAGCCAATTCTGGGTTCCCCTCTTTGTATTCCTCTATCTGTGTTTTCTCCATCACAGCATTTATCCCACTGGGTTGTCCATCTAGCTCTACCACTGTCCTGTTTCTTCTACTGGAATACCCTGTCCCATCCATCTGCAGGGCTGTCCCCCTTACTTCCTGCAGGCCTCTGCTGGAGTGGCACCTTTCATCCGATACTGTTGTCACCACCCGCCGTCCTGATCACTGCATATCCCCCTCTCCCTAACTGTTCACTGCCCAACTGAATGTTTATATATTTATTTATTTACTTACTTACTTATTTAGTGGACTGTTAAATCCAGATCCTCTGAGTGCTAATCTCAGTTCCACCACTTAATAGCTATGTGATTGTGGCAAGTACTTAAATGATTTGATCATGATGTATTGGTGTATTATTGCCTGTCTCCCACCAGAATGTAAGCCCTTTGAGAGCAGGGAATTTGTCAGTTTTGTCCCCTGATTTGCCTCAAGGCCCTTTTCATTCATCCAGCAAGTAGTTATTGAATGCCTGCAATACTCCAGGGCCTGTTCAGAAAGCTAGGGTTACAGCAGTGAAAAAACAACCAGGGGCTGCCTCGAGAAGTTTATGTTCTACTTGTTTACACAAGTAAACAATATAATTTAAAAATATATTATTTAAGACAGGAGTAAGTCTTACAGAAATAGAACAGGGTGCTACGATAGAGAGGCAGAGTAGCGTGGCCTGGGGAATCAGGGAAGGCCTCTCAGAGGAGGTGACATTCAGGCTAAGGCCAGAATGATGTGAAGGTCAAATGTAAATTGTCCCAGGCTGGGGGGAATGGCCGGTGCATAGGCCCAGAGGGAGGACCAGCTTGCATATTTGAGGAGCAGAAAGACAGCCAGCATGGCTATAGTGTAGTGAACAAGGCGGGTGTGAGGGCATGAGCTGGAGTTGAGAGGCGGGCAGGGGCCAGATCAGGACTCTGTAGACTATCATGAAAGGATTGGTGTTCATCCTGGGGTGATGGGAGGCCTTTGGAGGCCTTTAAGCAGGTGAGTGACGTGATTGGTATATAGGACAGCAAGGCCACTCAGGGTACTGTGTAGAGAATGGATTATAGGGCATCAGGAGAGTATTTTGTTGAATGAATGAATGAATGAATGAATTTGGCCTGAGCTGAGCTCTTCGTGCACTCAGCGCAACCCCCTGTCCCCTGTGGTTAGAGACAGGCCAGATCATGCTTCTCTGATTAGAAGGCCGTTTCTTCTTGAGCTGAGAACTAACATGGGGCTCCCCAAATACCAGCCCAATAAAATACCATCTTGGGTTCTTCTGGGTAATAGGGACAATTACCCCAGCTGCCAAGTGGCACATGGAGTTGTTTAAAGGTAGTAGAAATTGCTAAGCCTGCTACCATCAAGGCCAGGCGCTGCCCCCGGCGATGTCCTCAGTTCTTGGCTTGTCGCCGTCCTCTTTGCCCACTGACATGGTCTGCGCTGATTACCTGAGCCAGGGAAATCTGCTACAAACAGATCTCCAACTTGGGTTCCTGGAGCAACCATTGGAGGCCAGTCTTGCTGGGTGACATTGGGCATGGTCTTAACCTCTCTGGGCCTCAATTTCTCCATCTGAAACACCCTGTGCGGGTGTACAGGAGAGAACACGGGGTTTAGAACCAAAGTCTGGTTTGACTTTCATCACATACTTACTGTGTAACCGTGGGGAAATCGCTTGGCCTCTCTGAAGCTTATAGTTAAAGGAGAGAATCATAACGCCTCACGTCCTACTTAACCTTACATGGTAGTTGTAAGAATTAAATGGATTTAAAGTGCTCTGTAAACTGTTATGTGCTGTCCAGATGTTGGTTTGTGGCTTTTAACTACCTCAGAGTTATTTTGAAAAACTGATGCAATATTAGTTGTGGACAGATTTTTAAATAATCCCTCCACGGAGGTGATACTTTGAGAACAAAAGATTTTATTGCTCAGTTGGATGAGAACAAATTTGTGGACCAAAGTCAGTGTGGAGTATGGGTATTAGACTAGAAATCTCTTGGCGATAAGACGAGTGTTCGAAACAGAGATGGTGGCCAAGAGCTCTGGCTTTGGGCTCTGGTCTGCCATTTACTGGCATGTGACCCGGGCCCAGTTCTTCTCTGAGCCTGTTCCCCTCCGGTTTGAAAACTGGATGCTATGGTATCAGTAGTACCTGGCTCGTAGAGTTGGCTGGGACCATGCATGTTAAAAACTGTAGCCCCAGGGCCTGGCATCCAGCAATGGCTCAATAACGTTGCCTCTTACTATTATTTATACACCTTTGCTGTGTGCCAGGCACTGTGCTGAGCATCTTATTTACTTGTCTGTTGATTCTTTTTACGCATTTATTTCTTCACGGCCATGTCATTTATTGCTTACACAGCTCTTCCAGACACGTACTGTTATAGTCCATTTTTAGGCAAAGGAATCTCAGTGCAGAGAGTTTGAGTTGCCCAGGGTCCCACATCTATGAGTTGGAGGCACTTAGATTCACACCCTGTCTGTCTGGTCCTGAGCCCGCATTCGTATCCACAGTGCCCTATGGTCACGGCTGGTACCCTTCCCAGCACCCGCTCCCAGGGCCCTTGGATGCCTGACTTGGCTTGGTTTGTCCCTTCCCCAATCCTCCCCACCCATCCCTTCCCTTCTTCCCCTTCTGCCCCTGGGAAGGAAAGAGAATAAAAGGAGGGACAGAGGAAGGGGAAGGAGACCTTGCTCCCTCCCTTCCTTCCTTTCACTGAAGTATAACATACATAGAGTACACAGATCGTAAGTGTACAGCTCAGTGAATTTTTAAAATATATTTATGCCCATGTAATCACCACCTGGGTCAAGATATAGAACATTTCCATCACCCAGAAGCCTTGCTGTCCCCCTTCTAAGCCAATATTCCCTCCCACTGGCAACCTCTCTTCTGACTCTTCTCACTATAGATTGGTTTGACCTATTCTTCAAGTTCATGTAAACGTAATCCTACAGTATATATTCTCTGGTGAATGACCATCTGCTTACCATTGAGATTCACTCATGTTGTGGTGAGCCAAACTTCATTCTTTTCATTGCTGTGTAATATTCCATGGTATAAATCTGCATAGGTTGTCCATTCTGCTGTGGGTGAATGTGTGGGTTGTTTCATTTGGGACTATTATGAGTGAAGCTCCTATGAGCGTTTGTGTCTTTTGGGAGACATAAACCTTCATTTCTCAGGAGTGGAGTTGCTGGGGTGTAGGGAAGACACATGTTTAAATTTAGTGGATAAAGTCAAACCATTTTTCACAGGGTTGTACCAATTTACACTCCCACCAGCAGTGTATGAAAGTTCTATTTGCTCCTTATTCTCTTAGGATTGTAGGTCTTTTTAATTTTAACCTTTCTGATAGGTGAATGGTAGTATCTCATTGGAGTTTTAATTTCCATGTCTCAGATGGCTAATTTACACTCCCACCAGCAGTATATGGAAGTTCTATTTGTCCCTTATCTTCGTCAGCACTTGGTATTGTCAGTCTTTTAATTTTAGCCATTCTGATGGGTGAGTAGCCATGTCTCATTGGGGTTTTAATTTCTGTTTCTCTGATGCCCAGTGATGTTGAACACCTCTGCATGTGCTTATTGGCCATTGGATATCTTTTGTGAAGTACCTATTCAAGTCTTTTGCCCATCTTAAATTTGCCTTGTTTCTTTTTCTTAGTGACTTGTAGGAGTTGTTTTTACACTATGGATACAAACCCTTTGTGATATACACATTGAAAATATCTCCCCCAGCCCCAGTCTCTTAAAGATAATGAATAGAAGTTTTTAATTTGAATGAGGGCTAATTTATCTACCTTTTCTTTTATGATGAGGTAGTTTTTTGTGTCCCGTTTAAGGAAGCTTTGCCTACCTGCTGAAAGCATTTTTCACTGGGATTTCTCCCTGCAGGGCTGGAAATGGCCACAGGGGACGGGTCGAGCCAGAGGCTGCCCCAGGTGGCCGAGCCAGGTGTGGAAGGGGAGCCACATCTGCCCACAGGCCGGGAGCTGACCGAGACCAACCGTTTTGCCTATGCCGCCCTCTGTGGCATCTCCTTGTCCCAGCTCTTTCCAGAACCTGAGCAAAGGTGAGTGCTTTTCTCTCACAGAGGGATGGTCATGCTTCTTCAGGGAGATGATTCTTGGCAGCCAAGCAGCCTGCCAGGTGTTACTGGACACTACAAAGAGGAGAAAGCCATTGTCCTTGCCTTCAAGGAGCTCACAGTGTGGTAGGGGGCTAGGGCATCCCTCATTCAGTACCCACTTATTTATACCTTCACCAAGCATTTAAGGAGCACCTACAAGCATTTCACCAGGCACCGTTTGAAGTACATGGAAAGTGGACATGAGTAAGACAGACAAGGCCGGGGCTTCCCTGGTGGCGCAGTGGTTGAGAATCTGCCTGCTAATGTAAGGGACACGGGTTCAAGCCCTGGTCTGGGAGGATCCCACATGCCACGGAGCAGCTGGGCCTGTGAGCCACAACTCTTGAGCCTGCGCGTCTGGAGCTTGTGCTCTGCAACAAGAGAGGCTGGGATAGTGAGAGGCCTGCGCACCGCGATGAAGAGTGGCCCCCGCTCGCCACAATTAGAGAGAGCCCTCACACAGAAACGGTGACCCAACACAGCAAAGATAAATTAATTAATTAATAAACTCCTACCCCCAACATAAAAAAAAAAAAAGACAAACAAGGCCAACACTATCCCTGCCCTCAAGTAGGACACACCCTAATCGGGGGATAAGATATCTACATTCAGTGAGCACTTACTATGTGCTGAGTGTAGTACAAGGCCCCGTGGAGAAAACAAGGAAAAGCAAGGCCTGGCTTCTACCCTCCTGGTGCTTACAATCTGGTGGGGGGCGGGCACCCAAATGAGTGATTTTAACAGTGGACAAGTGGGCTGAGTGCCACGATGCATCTCAGGTTCAGTGACACTCAGTATATGGAGTCGGAATAGTAGAGTGGCTAAGAGCTTGGGCTTGGCCTTCAAGCCCTTCAAGGATTTTGCAGGGAGAGAGTTTGGAGACCAGAGGAGGGAGTTGTTTGGAGAAACCAGGACAGTGACCCAGAGGTGGAGGGACACAGGTGAGCTGGAGGGACACACGCAGTTTTGCTCAGGGAGAATGCAGTTGACCTGGAGACAGCTTGGGTGCTGTGGATGGGGCAGAGGGAGGAGCTAACTCTGGCCCCAAAGGTCCAGATGGGGAGGGGTCCTGGGAGGACAGAGATATCATTCCTGAGACAGGGAGTGATGGGTTGGGGGCAGGAGATGGCATCTGCAGTGTTTTCAAGAACCGCAGCCCTCAACCCCAGCCATGGTCCCCAGGAGTAAATTTCCCCATGCCTTGGGTCTTACCTGGGTTTTTGTTTGTTTTGCTTTTTTTCTTTGTCCCTCCCACTGGCCCAAACCTTGAGCGTTTTCATCTCCTTGGGAGTCACTTCCAGGAAGCCTTCCCAGACCCTCCTCAGCCCCCCAGACAGGAAGCTTCTCCACCTGTCTGTCCAGTGACCTGTCACCACAGCCACCATGCTGCACTGTAACTCTTCCCTGAAGGGCAGGAGCTGCCTCGTTCATCTCTGAGTTCCCAGTGCCTGGCACACAGCTTGGTGTAACACACGCCCTCGGTAAAGGTCTGTGAAAAGAAGGGATGGATGAATACTGACTTTCTTGGCACAGGAGACATTCCATGGGATTTGGACTTAGATCTGGGTTCAAGTCCTACCCCTGCCACTTTCCAGTTACATGTGGCCTTAGGCAGTTTATTTAACTTCCCTATGCATCAGTGTCTTCATCTGTAGAATAGGGCTAGTGATACCCACCTGCTGAGTGATTACAAGAATCAAATGAGATGATATAGTTAAAGCACATAGCATCGTGTTTGGCCCACAGTAGGTGCTCAATAAATGGCGGTGCTTGCTGAGTCTGTGACGTAATTTATTTGTTCAATTTCCTCATCTGTAAAATGAAGACAATCCTGGAACTTACCCCTACCATTCAGGGTACTTTGGGCTGCAAGTAACAGTACACTGTACTAAAAGAGATTTAAATAATAAAAGTTACAATGACCATCATCAAAAAATCTAGAAACAATAAATGCTGGAGAGGGTGTGGAGAAAAAGGAACCCTCCTGCACTGTTGGTGGGAATGTAAATTGATACAGCCACTATGGAGAACAGCATGGAGGTTCCTTAAAAAACTAAAAATAGAACTACCATACGACCCAGCAATCCCACTACTGGGCATATACCCTGAGAAAACCATAACTCAAAAAGATACATGTAGGGACTTCCCTGGTGGTGCAGTGGTTAAGAATCCGCCTGCCAATGCAGGGCACAACGGGTTCGAGCCCTGGTCCAGGAAGATCCCACATGCCGCGGAGCAACTAAGGCCGTGCGCCACAACTACTGAGCCTGCGCTCTAGAGCCTGCAAGCCACAGCTACTGAAACCAGCGCGCCTAGGGCCTGTGCTCCACAACAAAGACAAGCCACCGCGATGAGAAGCCCGCGCACCGCAACGAAGAGTAGACCCCGCTCACCGCAGCTAGAGAAAGCGTGTGCGCAGCAATGCAGACCCAACACAGCCAAAAATAAATAAATAAATAAATTTATTTTTAAAAAAAGATAATGTACCACAGTATTCATTGCAGCAGTATTTACAATACCCAGGACATGGAAGCAACCTAAATGTCCATCAACAGATGAATGGATAAAGAAGATGTGGCACATATATACAATGGAATATTACTCAGCCATAAAAAGGAATGAAATTGAATTATTTGTAGTGAGGTGGATGGACCTAGAATCTGTCACACAGAGTAAAGTAAGTCAGAAAGAGAAAAACAAATACCGTATGCTAACGCATATATATGGAATTTTAAAAAGCAGTACTGATGAACCTAGTGGCAGGGCAGGAATAAAGAGGCAGACATAGAGAACAGACTAGAGGGCACAGGGTGGGAAGGAGAAGCTGGGATGGAGAAGCTGGGATGAAGTGAGAGAGTAGCATTGACATATATATACTACCAAATGTATAATGGATGGCTAGTGGGAAGCTGCTGCATAGCACAGGGAGATCAACACAAAGCTTTGTGATGACCTAGAGGGGTGGGATAGGGAGGGTGGGAAGGAGGTTCAAGAGGGAAGGGATATGGGGATATATGTATACATATAACTGATTCACTTTGTTGTACAGTAGAATTAACACAACATTGTAAAGCATTTATATTCCAATAAAGATGTGAAACAAATTTTAAAATCTAAAAATAAATAAACAGTAAGAGATTTGTTTTTCTCACTTAACAAGAAATCAAAAGGAAGAGAGTTCCAGCATTGATACAGCACCTCAAAAAGCCTTTGGGTTGGCTTTTGTGCAGTTCTCTTAGCCTCCCCCTCCTGATCATAAAATGGCTGCTGTAGTGCCATACATCACAGAACAAGACCCAAGGCCAAGGAACGAACGCCCAAGGAAGAGGAGGTCAGGGATTCTCTTCAAGTCTCTCATCAGGGAGGAACTCTTTCCCGGGATACCCTGAGAAGGCTTTCCCTTTTGTGTCATTGGCTAGGTCTAGTCAAATGCCCTCGCCTCACCTGCAAGGGAGGCAGGGAAAAAAATAAAGGCACTTGACATACTCTGTCTCCGTCATGGGAGGGGGCTTCTACTGGTCAGGAAGAAGGGGCTGGGGAATCACTGCTGCTGAGAAATGGCCATCCATCAGAGAGGGTGGTCTTGAGGAAGGAACGTGTTGATGGCCCCTGCAGAGCCCAGCACAGAGCTACTGCCAAACAAACGTTGGATGTTCTCATTATTAATAATGAAACCACGTTCTCTATCTAGAGGTTAGAATATATCTCGTTGGATGTTCTGTTCCCAAGCAAGCCAGGGTCCCATCTCCTGCAAGGGTCCAACTCTCTCCCTGCTCTAGCCCATACCTGTGCCATGCATGGGAAGCTCTGTCTTTCCAGAAGCTTCTCAGATCTGATAAATCCCTACCTGATAAGCTGGTAGATAGGTGGGGGAAGAGTTCTGCATACTTTGTTCACATAAACAAATATTTATGAACCTGAACTGTGTGCCAGGCCTGTGCTGGGCACCGCCTGGGAGGGCACGTGGAGAAGTTGTTCTGTGTCCCCCACAAAATCCAAGTATGGTCTTAAGCACATGTGGCTGAGCTGGAAGCATCTGCCTTGGGAGCAGTTTCCTTCCTGTAAGTTACAATGCTCTATGCCACCTCTTTCCGCTTGGTTGATCTCAGTCTTCTTAAGGCCCAAAACATTTTAAAACCAACCTCAATCTGGGTTGTAAATCCCAGATATGCTGTTGGTTTCAGTAATCTTTAGAAAACATTCTGTGTTTATGTCCACATGGGGCATAAAAGCAATTCTTTAAAATATTTATCTCTCTTCCATGCTGTAAGCGTCACAGACGCTGTTCCTTACAATGAACTCTGTTTATTAAACATGGAGATATTAATGGTGTAGAGCAGGGGTCAGTAAGCTTTGTCCGTGAAGGTCTAGATATTTTAGGCTTGCAAACCCTGTGGTCTCTGTTGCAGTCACCCAGCTTTGCTGTTGCATGTAGGCTAAAAGCAGCCGGGAGACAGCATGTAAAGGAATGTGCGTGCTGTGTTCCAATAAAACTTAGTTTCAAAAAAAAAAACAAGGGGCTGCAGCCCCCTGGTGTAGTTTTCCAGCCCCTAGTGAATAGGAGGAGCTTTGGACTAGGAGTCGGGAACCTGGATTCCAGATGAGGCTTTGCCCTTTCCCAGCCAGGAGACCCTTGATATGGTGTTTAACCTCCATAGCCCAGGGGCTCCATCTCAAGACATGGCAAGGATGAGAGGGGAGGGATGCACCAGCCTAGCTGATGCCCAGCACTCGGTGGATGCCAAGGAATGTGACTGCTGGAGAGGGACGATCTCTGCAGTGGTGAAGCGTGGCCTCTGGAGTCAGAGAGAACCCTGGACCCTGGAGCTGTCACTTAACCTCTCTGGGGAATACCCTGGCAGTCCAGTGGTTAGGACTCCACGATTTCACTGCTGAGTGACCTAAGATCCCACAAGCCATGTGGCATGGCCAAAAAACACAAAGCAAACTAACAAAAAAACACCTTTCTGGTTCCGGGTGTCTTTATCTCTAGAATGGGGGTAAAAATAGTACCTCCCTCCCTCATGGGGCTGTAATGAGAAGTAAATGAGTCCGTGTGTATGAAGCACTGAGTACAGGGACTGACAGATAGTTGCTCTGTGATCACCATTTATTATCATCATTGCTACTGATTTTTATGTGGTTCAGCTAGATCACCAGTCACGTTAGAAGCATTTACCAAGGCCCTGCCGTTCTACAGTGCTATTTCTTATTTCATAGATTGCTGTCCTGGCACTTTACATATATATTTATTAATTCATTTGTTCACTTAAAGAAACACCTATATAGGGCTTTATATGTGCCAGGTTTTGCTCTAAGCACATGACAAATGTTAACTTAGCTTTCAACAACCCTATGCAATAGGTTTCATCGTTATCGCCACCGTTTTACAGATAAAGAAACAGGGGCACAGAGAGGCTAAGTAACTTGTCCAAGATCACACAGCTTGTGGCACAGCTGGGATTTGAGCTGGAGTTCGTGCTCTTCACCCCTCCACTCTTGTTATGAGATGCTTCTCTACATCCAGGACTTCCTTCATGGACACAGGGCCAGGCCGTGCCGCTGCCCTCGGCACTACGTATATGTTTACCCCGAAGTAATGCTCAATTCACTTAGTCATCCCTCCCGCATATACACTCACACATCATCCCAGGGTAATCCCAGTAATTGTAGCGGGGTAAGTTACAGTTATTGTCACAGCAGTAGCTAACATTTATTGAGGGTTATCAGGCACTATTATCATGTCAGTTAATCTTTCCAGACAATCTATGAGACAGGCCCTATTATCATCCTCATTTTACAGCAGAGGAGAGTAAAACTAAGAGAGGTGAAGTAGGGCATGAAGCCAGTCGCCGAGGGAGCCAGGACGCCCCCGAGGGGTCAGACATTAGAGCCCGGCTCAACCCTCTTCTCCACTGCCTCTCTTGGTCACCTTGTAAATAAAATAGTGATGCTAACTAACATTAGTTGAGTGTCTACTGCATGCCAAGCCCTGCTCGGGCTGCTTTACATGTATCATCTCATTTAATCCTCAAACAATTTTATGAAGTTGGTTTCTTAGACCCATTTGCAGATAAGGAAACTGAGGCACAGAGAGGTCGAGTTACTCGCTCAGATGTCCTTCAGGAGTGAAGGACTTTCCTGGGACTTCCCTGGCGCTCCAGTGTTTAAGACTCCACGCTTCTACGGCAGGGGGCGCAGGTTTGATCCCTGGTCAGGGAACTAAGATCCCTCATGCCCCGTGGCATGGCCAAAAAAAAAAAAAGGAGTGAAGGACGTTCCCCCAGCTACTGAGAGGGCTTTCCGGCACAGCCTGGGTCTGCCTCAGCTGAAGAGAGCCACTTCACCCAAGGTTCTGCCGCCTTCCTGGGGCAGCCTTTGTCCGATGACTGTCTGAAATAAGGGTATAAAGGCCCAGCCCTGTTGCCCCACTGGGGGCAGTTCTCAAGGTTCACCCCATCTTCAGATCTCCCCACAGGGTCAGCTGAGGCTTCTGTTGAGACTGGATCTCCCTGCCCAGTCCTCCATCCTCCCTTCCCATTCACAGCCGTTGACCCCAACAGAATCCCCAGTAATCATTTCAGAGCTGCTTCCCGGGGACCTGGACCAAAACAGTGGTAGGGCCAGGATTTGAACCCAAGTCCTGCACTGCTCCTGTCACAGGCCCGGCCTGCAGAGATCTCTCTACTTGGGCTTTGGCAGCAGCAGCTCTAAAGAATGGGTTGGGTGGGCTGCCTGGGATCCACAGGAACCGGAGCCGGGCGGTGCAAGCGGGGAGCTTCCTGAGGTCGCCCTCTCTACCAGGGAGCTCTGCTTGTCTCTGGGAAGCCTCTTCTCTGCACTGGTCTAATCCCCTCTGATCTGATTCCCTTTCCCGCATCCCAGTGGTGGCTTGGAATCAAAGCCTTGTGTGGACTCTTCTGGGGTCCCCAAGATGCCATGTGTTTCCTCTAGCTCCTGGGGTCCCTTCTCTCCTGGAGCACCCCATCCATCCCCCACCCAGGGACCCCCTCAAATGACTGCTGTGGACAGAGCCCCCATGGCGGCGGTGGGCGCGGCTGGAGGACAGACTTCTCTGCACTTTACCCACTTCTACAGCAGCCAGCGTGTCTCCAGAAAGCATGTCCGTGGCCGTTTCCACAGCAGCCAATCTCCACGTGTGGGAACCTTTTCTGGTCACTGCCTCCACCTCACAGGTGGATTTGGGGCTCCGTCTCGACTCATCGGGGCTTGATTCCTGCCTCTGTCCTAGCATATCCCACGGCCCTGGATCAGTTAGTTCCGTCCAAGTCTCCACCCCCCTGCGAGCTTCTCATCCAAGGCCCATCTTGCTCATTTTTGATTCCACAGCCCCAGGGCAGGCCGGCCTCAGGGCGTATGGTCAGTAACTGCTCGTTAGCCCCGTTCGTGTGGTTTACCAGCCCTGTGGTCAAAGTTTTGGTGGAGGAAGAAGCCCAAGTCCACACACCTGAAATCAGGTTTTGGCTCTTCCGTATTCCCTGGGCCACAGTCGCCGTGGTTTTTTGTAAGTGCCAGGTCTTCACATCCTTGCACACAGCTCATATCGTGAGATGCACAGTCCAGGATCTCAGCTGCGTCTGTCTTTCAGATCCTTCTGCACGGACTTTGTGGCTGGCCTGGTGAAGTGGCTGGACTTGTCCGAAGCTGTCTTGCCAACCATGACTGCTTTTGCCAGCGGCCTGGGAGGCGAAGGAGCAGACACGTTTGCTCAGATTTTATTGAAGGACCCCATCTTGAAGGACGACCCACTGGTGATCACTCAGGTACACCCACCGCCCAGGTGGTGGCTGCCAGGGAAAGTAGAACAGAGAATTTCCTCTCAAAGTCAGCCTGAATATCGCTTCTAGTGGCATGGGGGGAATTGAAAGATTAAATATTGCATCATAATTTCATATGATGATGATGATCATAGCTAATGTTGAATTATCATTATTGAATATTTACTATCGATTTATTACTTAAACAGTACTTATTATATGCTAATACCTTACTAATATGAACTCATTTAATTCTCAAAGCAATTTTATTAGGTAGGATGATAAATGGAGGCACAGAGACGTTAGGTAACTTGCTCAAGGTCACACAGCTGATTTGAACCTTGGCAGTCTTACTCCAGAGCCCGTGCTCCTGACTGCTAAGCTGTGGTGCCCCCTTTTGGAAGTAGCAGCTTTGCTGTGTGCCCTTGGGCATGTCACTCACCTGCTCTGTATGCATTTGAAGCAGGCAGAAGCTTGACACAGGCTATCGGTGGGTCAAGAGAGCAGATTTAAAACAGCCCTTCCCCTCCTTCATCTGACTCCCTGAAATTCTCACGCACTTATTCAGTTATCTGCTTGCTTCTTTGTCTGGCTCGCCCCTCGAATGTACGGCGGACGTATTTCGTCTGCCTTGTTCTCCCACTTTTTAAGGGTCAATAAACATTTGTCAAGTGAGCAGGCTGGTTACAAATCAACCTATTGCTAATTCCTGTTACTCTTCCCTCAGGACCTTCTGAGCTTCTCACTCAAGGATGGTGAGTTGATTTCATAAGTTGTGGGGCACGTATCTGCACCTCAGCCAGTGAAGCCAGTGGTAGGTGTTGCCCCTGCGGTCCCGTCCCCAGTGGCCTTTTTGGTGCAAGAAAGGAAAGGGGGCTTCCCTGGTGGCGCAGTGGTTGAGAGTCCGCCTGCCGATGCAGGGAGCACGGGTTCGTGCCCCGGTCCGGGAAGATCCCACATGCCGCGGAGCGGCTGGGCCCGTGAGCCATGGCCGCTGAGCCTGCGCGTCCGGAGCCTGTGCTCCGCGACGGGAGAGGCCACAACAGTGAGAGGCCCACATACCGCATAAATAAATAAATAAATAAATAAAAAGAAAGGAAAGGGAAGCCAGTAGAGCTGGGGAGCTGGAAGCTCTCCATTCATGCCAAGCGCCGGGTGGTACTTCTTAGCGGTTCTGTTGATTCTGCACAGTGCCCTGTGGCTCCCCCTTCTGAGTGGCTCTGAAGTCTGGCTCCTGCCCTCTGAGGTCTGTTCTGCTGGCAAACAGAAGGAGCACAGAATTGAAAATGAAATCCCAACCACGTCTACACTGTGTAGGAAGGGAAGTCCCACCCACTCCCCACCGGAACCCGGGCTCGTGCGGGACTGGAGGGGTAAGAAGAAGAGGAAGAACAGAATGTCAGGAGCAGAAATAGCGTGTGCAGGAGGCCTGGCTGGAAAGAATGCTCGGAGGAGGGTCACGGGGGCCGGAGCTGAGCGGGTTCTCCACCTACACGAGATCCCAGGCTGTTCCCATGGAGTTTATAGTCTGAGAAGTGCAGCTCTAAGGCTCAAACCCCACTATATATTTTTGGCCCTAGTCTAGCCGCACAGAATGCTTTCACTCCATATCTCAGAGCCAGAGGAGAGCCCAAGGGTGATCTGGCCCAGTCCCTGCATTCAGGCGGGCACGACCTGAAGTAACACTTCTCTTTGGCCGGTGAGGCCACGTGGCTGAGTTGTGGTCTGAGGATGTGGTGCAGTTGGTCTGAAAATCCTCAGCTGTATCACTTGTGTTTTTTCCAAACGGAAGTAAGGGAAGAATAACAATATCCGATCGTCCTGGACGCTGTTGGAGTGAGGGGTGGGTTTGTGCGGAGGTCTGAGGCTCAGGAAAGGAAGGCAGCCCATCAGCACACACACCCTCACGTGATAATCACGGGAACAGCAAAGCACCAGTTCTTGAGCGCTTGCTGGGTGCCCAGCGTGCCGCCAAGGGCTCTACAGGCACGGAGCCCTCTCAGCCCCCTGAGGGGTGTTGGAGGTCGTTGTTCCCATTTTGCAGGTCAAGGTCATTTTGGATGGGACGCCCATATTTCCAGGTGGAGAGGTTGAGGCCAGAGAGGGGAAGGGGCTTTCCCGGAAGCACACAGTGGCAGAGGTGGCCTGGTGGTCAGAACCAGGTCTCCGGCCTCCAGGCCAACGCTCTGCCCCACGGCCTTGTCACGGGGGAGAAGAAGCTGCCCCAGCACTCCTGTGTCGGCCTCAAAAAAAAAAAAAAAAAGGAAAGGGAAGCCAATAGAGCTGGGCCACAAGCCCAGCGAGCCACGTTCATTCTAGCCTGCTTCCTGCCCCCGCCTGCCAATCACAAGCCCTCCTGAGCTCCCAGGAGCACCCAGGACACTTTAACTTACCCCCTTTGCTGTGGGTGACCTTGGCCTGGCTCTCACAGAATAATTGGAGCGGGTTTGAAACAGCCTGTCTAATGTCATCACCTGGTACTTCATTCCCTCCCAGGGGTGTTCTCATAGGCAGCCTCTAAACCGGCATTGCCTTTGAAATGTCTCTTGAGAATAACCACCACTTATGAAGCACCTGTTAACGCTGGTCATGGTACCTGACCCTTGTCAGGCATTGTTTCACATCATCCTCATAGCCATCCTTTCATGTAGACACTCCCACTTTCCAGACGAGCAAACTGAGGCCCAGAGAGGTGAAGTAACTGGCCTAAGCTGGTAAGTGGCAGAGCTGGACATTCTAAAAGAAGTGCTATCAACAAAAACCTTAGCAGATTTTACCCACAGGGGTTGAGGACTGTGGCAGCATCCCCACGGGAATATAGTAGTACCTCGTAGCTAAAGAATACCAGTCTCTGACAACATCTGGGGGGTGCCTTTGGTTTATCTCAAAGCCCCACCAGATGCCGGCATCTACGAACAGGAGGAGCTTCACTGGCACGCCGGGACCCCAATGGGAGTGGGTGCTAGGGCTCAAAAGTTCCCCAGAGGTCAGAGGTAGGTGGCCCCTCAAACCATCTAGACGACCCTCTCATCAGACGCAGACCTCAGAGATATTGCGGGTTCCGTTCCAGACCACCGCAGTAAAGCCAGTCACGTGAATATTTTTGGTTTCTCAGGGCATATAAAAGTTATATTTACACTATACTGTAGTCTATTAAGTGTGCAGTAACGCTGTGTCTAAAAAAACAATGGACATACATTAATTTAAAAATGCTGTTGGAAAAATGGCACTGATGGACCTGCTGGATGCAGGGTTGCCACAGACAAGGCAAAGAGCAGTAAAACGAGGTCCGCCTGTAGATGAGAAAAGGGGGCCCCGAGTGGGAATGGCTACAGTTGTCATGTCCAACTCTGTCTGTATTAATGAAGAACCAGGGACCAAGAACTGGGTGCATCTGGGGATCAGGCTGCCTGGTGTTAAGATGCAAGCTCTACTTTGGCGAGGTCCTGAATGTCTCTGTGTCTCAGTTTTCTCAGGTGTTAAATGGGAACAAACAGTACTTTTTACCTTATAGGGCAGCGGGGAGGATTAAATGAAATAACCCAGGTAAAGCGCTCAGAACAGAGCTGGCATGCAGGAAGCAGGCCATGAGTGCCACTGGGGCACGGTGGTGGTGGTGGTGAAATGGGAAAGCCCTGGGAACCAGAAAACCTGGACTGTCATCCTGTCTCTCAGACTCTCATTGTGTGACCTTGATCAAGTCACTTAACTTCTCTGAACTTCAATTTCAAATACAAATGAGAGGCAAGAGCCAGATGCTACTTCAGAGCAAAACAAAACTGTCTTTGGTCCTAAGAACACAGTCAAGGATCTTGTAAGGAGAAGGTCAGTGTCATAGTTGGGCCGGTTGTTCAAGGCCTTTCCCATAAGCTCCATGAGAGTAGGGCCCTTGTCTGGCTTGTTCACCATCATATCCCAGTGTCTGCAACACTGATGGACACGTGGCGGGCATTTAGTACTTGTTGGGTGAATGGATGGATGGATGAAGGGATGGAGGAATGGATGAAGGGATGGAGGGACGGATGGATAAATGGATAGAAGGTTGGATGGATAGAAAGAAGGATGGATGTCCTTTCCTTAGAGCACAAGCTCAGATACTAGCAAGGTGGTTTGTCTGAACTTGAGGGTTAAAACATCTTTTTTCTACAGAGACTGATAGGGTAGGACACACAGCACAGAAGGCTCTCTGTGCTACTGCATTTCTCTCTGGGTGTGACACAGGGTGATTAATCATGGAATCAGCCCAAGAGATCAACACAAAAAGCCGCACGTCTCTGAACTTCCTGGAAGGTTGACCCATACTGACAATATTGGGATCTTAGTCACAAAACAATGCCATCTTGGCAGCTGGGTGGAATTTTTTATGCATGCTAATCATTTCCTTCTCATCCAGTAACAACCCATGAAGCTTCTTGCCCACACAACTGGAAAAAATAAGCCTTTTATATGTTGAAGGTTAAACTACATCTGAGCCAACTCGAGACTGGGTTTCACAACTGTGGCACTATTGACATTTGGGACTGGCTAATTCTTTGTCGTGGGACCACCCCGTGCCATGTAGGAGATTTAACTGAATCCCTGGCCTCTACTCACTAGATGCCAGTAGCACTTCCTGAGTTGTGATAACCAGAAATGTCTCCAGGCTTTGCCAGGTATCCTCGGGGGGCAAAAACATCCCTGGTTGAGAACCATGGGTTCAGGACCCCAAATTTGGCCGTCTCAGGTGGGGCTGGTTTATTTGTAGTTGGTAATCTTTATAAGTTACCTAGTTGCTCTCCTAGGTCCTGTACACAGATGGTGAATTATTGCATCGTATATAATCCTCAAATCAACTGCTAGAGTAGATACTGTCATCCCCACTGGTAGGAAATTAGGCTCAGGAGGTTAAGTAACCCGAGGTGGCATTTCCAAGTAAGTTTCAAATTCCGTTTAAGGCAGTGAGTCTCATGGTGAACGTGCGCGGGACACTTAAGCTGAAGCGTGGTTCTTGCCCTCTGTACCCTGAATCCAAAGATAACCTTGACTCCAGGCCATGGAACCCGACGACATGCAGCCACATGAGGTATAACAACCTTCACCGCAAACCTGGCTCTACTTTCTGACCTGGTCTTTATTACTGAGCTGCAAACCCTACCTCCCCAATGAATCAGAAAGGTTTGAGAGGTTGGTCGTTGGTCGTGGTGGAACGCGTTGTCAGCTGGCGGCTAGGTTCTTCATCAGGATCCTCAAGGTTCGTAAAGCTTGCTGTCAGTATTGAAGCTGGCTGTTCATCCATTCAGCAAATGAGAACGGAGCCCACGCTGTGTGTGCCAGGCCATCTGCTAGGTGCTGGGAGTAGTTCTAACCAGGGCCGATGCTCATGGAGTGCCTACTGTGTGCAGGCCCTGAGAAAAATGCTTTACAATTTGTTTAAACCCCTCAACAGCCCTGGGAGGTAGATGCTATTCCTGTCCCTCATTTTACAAAAGAGGCAGCTGCGGCCCAGAAAGTGAAATCACCCGCCCGAGGTCACACAGCAAGGATTCAGACCCAGGCAGTGTGTTTCCAGAGTCCATGCTTAACTGCTGTTCTGCTTCCTACATGGAGATAAAATGATAAAGTCCTCATCCTTACAGCTGACTTTAAGGGGATTTGATGAGGCCAGAATGAAGCGTGGGCACCCCATGTGGTAGAGGCCGGAGGAGGCCAATCTTGCCAGCAGCTGAGAGGGTGGAGCTGGAGGAGGGCCTCAGATGGGCCCCCTTTGCTCCCATGACCACCGGCCTTGAAGTAAGCTCGTTGCCACGTTGAACACCCTTAACTGTCCCCCCAAAATGAGCCGTGAAGAGAAAAGGCAGGAGTCATACCTGAAACCATCTGAGTTCGAGTCCTGCCCTGAGACAGGGTGCATCTTAGAAGTCCTGTCCCTTGGGACTTCCCTGGTGGAGCAGTGGTTAAGAATCCAACTGCCATTGCAGGGGACACGGATTTGATCCCTGGTCCAAGAAGATCCCACAGGCCGCAGAGTGACTAAGCCCGTGCACTACAACTACTGAGCCTGTGCTCTAGAGCCCGTGAGCCACAACTACTGAGCCCACATGCCACAACTACTGAAGCCCGCACGCCTAGAGCCCGTGCTCCGAAACAAGAGAAGCCACCACAATGAGAAGTATGCACATTGTGACAAAGAGTAGCCCCCGCTCACCACAACTAGAGAAAGCCCACGCGCAGCAACGAAGACCCAATGCAACCAAAAATTAATTAATTAAATTAAAAAAAAAAAAAAAAAAGTCCCGTGCCTCCAGCCACACTCTGCCCACCAAAGTGAAGACCCTGGGAAGACTTGTAAGTCAGCCCAGTGCCCATGGGGGAGATGGGGGGAGGACCGTGGGACTAGAGTAAGGTGTGGTTTCCTTTATATGAAAAAAAAAATTCATTGAGGGTGAAATTGGGTATACATATTCTAAATGTTACATAAAATGTACAATTAGAAAAGTTGGGGGAATTCCCTTGTTGTTCAGTGGTTAAGACTCGGTGCTTTCAGTGCCAGGTCCTGGGTTCAGTCCTAGGTCGGGAAACTAAGATCCCACAAGGCACGCAGCACGGCCAAAAAAAAAGGCCGGTCCATCGAGGGATGGCAGTGCAGTAGGCTGGGTAATCAGTTGAATGAATATGGCCTGAGAGTGTCCTCGGACCGCAGGGAAAGGCGAGACGAAGGTTCCCCGTGCTGACACAGCAGCAGCAGCTCACAGCCTCACCCCAGCAGCCCTGGCTTCTTAGCATCTAAGGACAGAGGAAATTTGACAATTTACCATAAAAAGAGTACTATTAGCCACCCTTTCTTGATCACTTACTGCATCCCAGGTGCTGGCCAGTCTCATCACATGCATCTTCTCACTGTATCTCAACAAACGCCAGATTAAAAGGGTATTCTTGCCCCCATTGTACAGATGAGGAAACTGAGGCTCAGAGAGGTCAAGAAACTTGCCAGAAGCCATTCAGCTAGTAGGTAGTCAGATGAAAATTCAAACCCCAGTCTGTGTCCCAACAAAGGCTGAAGTTTCTGCCTCTGAATTCCTTTTTCCTTTGGTCTGGAGGGCAGTCCCCAAAGGGAAGGGATTGGCCGTGATCTCTTCCCAAAGGTCTGGGATTCTGCTGCTCTCCGAGAAGAGGCAAGCTCAACCCCAGGCAGGTCATTCTGGCTCCCGAACTCAGATCCATAGTGAGAACAGAGGCTGGTTCAGTGCCTGGCAATGGAGGTTGTACTGCTCCCTGAGGAGGTGCATTTGGAAATGCAGGGCAGGTGGTGGTTGTTGTCACAGCGCTGGGGGTGCACCTGGCGTTTAGCTCCAAGGGCGCTGTTCATCCTTTAATGCACAGCACAGTGTTGGATGGTGAAGTGCAAAGTGCATCAACTTCTCTATTGAGATGCTGGTGAGAAAAGGACCCCAGAAGTGTTTGTTCTGCCCCCGGGTCTGTCCAAACACACTGGGTGACTTTGGACATGTCCCTTGCTCTTCCTAGGCCAGAAGGACCAGTTGGGCTCCAAGGGTGGAGTCTGGGTGGGTGCTGGGGCTGCCCAGCAGTTGGAGGCTGGCATACTCCTGCCCCCTGGGGGCAGAACCAAGATCCCTGAGCCCGCCCCCCACCAAGATTTTCCAAAGAACAGGCTGCCGGGTGATGGGTCCTGTGTGTGCACCTTTGGCCCATGGCCTAGGGCTATGCCTGGGATTGTGGGTGCACCCCCCATATCCCATGCACCCAGAAGGTAGGATTCACAGCTGACCACATGGGATTGACCTGGAATCCCAAAACTTCACTCGAGTAGATTTGCCTTATTCTAGTCTTTTTTTTTTTTTTTTTTTTTTTTTTGGCTGCACTGCTCAGCTTGTGGGATTTTAGTTCCCCAACCAGTGATCGAACCTGGGCCCTCCACAATGAGAGCTCGGAGTCCTAACCACTGGACCTCCAGGGAATTCCCTCAAGTAGATTTGCCTTTAAAAGGCAGCCACAGTGAAATGAACAGAAACTTTGGCATCCTGGGTTTTAAGCCAAATTCCACGGCTCTCTCAGCTGTGTGATTTAGAACAGCGGTCCCCAACCTTTTTGGCACCAGGGACCGGTTTCGTGGAAGACAGTTTTTCCGCACACTCGGGTGGGGGAGATGGTTCAGGCGGTGATGCTAACGACAGGGAGCGATGGGAGCGGCCAATGAAGCTTCGCCCCTCGCCCACAGCTCACCTCCTGCTGTGCGGCCCGGTTCCTAACAGGCCACGGACCGGTACCGGTCTGTGGACTGGGGGCTGGGGACCCCTGATTTAGGAAGTTTCTTAGCCTTTCTGCACCCGTTCTTCCCTCTTGTGCAAAATGAGGCATCATAATACCAGCTTCCCAGGACCACTGGGAAGATTAGCAATCAGGAATGCAAGCTTCCTGAGTGGTGCCCAGCATTTGTTAGGAGCACCGTGGATGCTGGTTTCCTTTCCTGCAGAGGTAGCAGGAGGAGGAGTCATCTTGATTACACCACTTCCTCCAGGCATGAATGCACCCAGACCTCCTCAGATCAGGAGCTTGCTAGTTAGAACAAGTGCAAAGGCCCTGGGGCAGGAATGAGCTTGGCTTCTTGGTGGGACAAATACTGGTGGAAACAGGGACCAGTAGAAAGTGAGGTGGTAGAGAGTGGCAGGAAAATGTACAGTCTTGCAGACCATGGGAAGAAATGTGGATTTTATTCTAAGTGCATTGGGGAGTTTTAAGTTGGGGAAGAGAACCCCAATTAGATTTATGACTTCACCCTTCAAGCTGCCGTGTGGCAAATAGAGTGTGGGGCAGGAGGAACCAGGGCAATGGCTGGTCCTTGAAGAGCGATGGCAGTCACAGTGGCCGTGCAGCAGAGATGGGGAGCCGTGGTCAGACTCAGGATACATTTTGGAGGTGCAGCTGTCACCATCAGCTGGTAAATTGGATGTCTGAGGAGGGGCAACGAGAAAAATCAAGAACGATGCCCAGGCTTTTGGCCTGAACCCCAAGTTGGGCTTTTTATTGACACAGGGTGGATTGGCCCTTGAAGAGTGAGTTGGCTACCTGGCAAGTTGTCCTGGGTAGCCCAGGACTCCTGCCCCTCCTCTACCACTCACCACCTGCCTTAAATAGAACCTCAGCTCCAAGTCCAGCAGCCTGGCTGTCAAGGTCCTTGAAATGACCCTTACACGAGGCTGACATTCCAGAGTCCCGTGCCTGAGAATACCTTGGGAGGTTTTAATCACCTGTGCACCTGGCAGTCTGTATTCCAGAAACTGAATCACGGCAGCCTTGACCAGTGGAGTATGAATTAGTGGCTGATGATAGCTGCCATCAGTTAATCACCACGGCCAAGGCTTGTCAATTGGCACAGGTCGATTACGGCCTACGTGCAATAGTCTGTGAGCCTAGGAGGGAGCTCCTTTATTTGTGGGACATTAGCTGATCAATAACCCCAAGATGTGGCCTGTGGTGTCTGTTTCCCGACACACAGGTCCTCATCCAGGGAGGCGGCCGAGGGCAGCTGGGCAAGTGCTTCCAGACCACGGCTCGCTCTAAGGACCCTTGTTAGTGGAAGGAACTGGTTTATTTTGCAGAAGCTGAGGTTATCGTAGCTACTACGACCTTAGTATAAAATTACCATGCAGCATTGCAGACACCCAGCAGAGGAGGCCAGTTCTGCATCATTCATTAAGGACCCGTCATGGACCCAGAGTCCTCTCCTCAAAACTTTGTGAGGGCTTCCCTGGTGGCACAGTGGTTGAGAGTCCGCCTGCCGATGCAGGGGACACGGGTTCGTGCCCTGGTCCGGGAAGATCCCACATGCCGCGGAGCGGCTGGGTTCGTGAGCCATGGCCGCTGAGCCTGCGCGTCCGGAGCCTGTGCTCACGAAAGAAGCGGAAAAAGGGGGGGGGCCCCCCGCCCCCCCAAAAAAAAAAAAAAAAAAACTTTGTGAGATGACTGTTACTATTTCCACTTCCACCTGAGCGAGGATGAGCTTTGCCCAAGGTTAGACACAAATAGTATCCGTACCCAGGTCTGTCAGGTCATTAACTGAACATTTATTCTTTGTGCCGAGCACTCTCCTAAGGACTGGAGATAAAGCAGTGTGGAGTTTATACTTATCAAGTTTATACTTCACGGGGAGAGACAAACGAGAGTAAATGGATATGATGTCAGAGCAGGGCAAGCTCTGTGTGGAACAAAATGCAGGGTAAAGGGGTAGAGTAGTGGGGGCCGGGGGTCGGGAAGGCCTCTGTGAGCTGTGAGCGGGAGGCGTCTGAACAGAGACTTGAATGAGGGGGAGGAGCCTCCCAAGAAGATCTGGGGAATGAGCCTTCCCGGTCGTGGAAACAAAACAAGCGCAAAGGCTCCGCAGCAGGAACATTCTAGAAGGTGAGGTCGTGGAGTTGGCCAGGGGCCTTGTATGTCATGATGGAGCTGGATTTGCTTCTGATCGTGCTATCACGTCCTTAACAGCTTTGGGATGTGAAAATTTGATCTTTGCTGATTTGGTGGAACACGCCACCTTTCTCCTGATCCATGTGGGTAACAGTTGCACACTGTTCCACCCCAGAAGCTGTCTTCTTGTTCAGCTGACTGGTTCTCGGGGCTGTGCACTTCGGATGTATCTGGGGTTTGGGTTTCATCCGTTGTGCTGCTGTTAACATCTCTGTGCTTGGAAGCTGAACTGACCCCGTGCTCTTTCTCTCTTTGCAGGACGCTATGATGCTCGGGCCCGAGTCCTCATTTGCCACATGACCTCCCTCCTCCAAGTGCCCTTGGAGGAGCTGGACCTCCTCGAAGAGACGTTCCTCGAGAGCCTGAAGGAAACCAAAGAGGAGGAATCTGAGTAAGTGTGCCCTGCAACCCTGGCCACCCTGCCAGGAATCAAGGACTTCCACTCTTCAGATAACAGCATCCTGTGTGTCCCCTCCCCCCATTAAGAGATGGTGCACTGAGGTGGGAAGAGCACTGGACAGAGAGTCACAGTGCAGTCCTGACTCGCTGTGTGGCCTTATCAAGTCACTTCCCGTCTCTGGGCCTCCATCCTCATTTGTAGGAAAGGGGGATTGAATGGATGAATGCTAAGGGCCATGAGTTTGTGACTTTAACATTCTGTGGCCCCAACACCCCACTCCCCCTCAGTTCTTGTGACACCTTGTCTGTGGGCCAGAGTGGCCTGGGTTCAAATCCCACCTCTGACACCTGTTTGCTTTTTGACCTTGGGCAGGTGCCCCCCCACCCCTCACCCCCCACCCCTTCTCTAAGCCATAATATTCTTATCTGTAAAATAGGAATAAGAATAGCATCCTCCTAGGGTCATTGTGGAAAACAAATGCAATTGTATTATCAAGTGCTTGGCCCAGGGCTGGCATGTAGCAAGGGCTCAGTAAGTATGAGTCCTTCCCTTCCCCCACATTCCCCCATACCTGCCAGCTGTCAAGAGGCTTTGCTATCTGTGTATGGTCAGGTGTGTGTTGAGGGAAAGTTTCCTGGTAACTTGGCCAGAGCTCAGCTCTTTGCAGAACACCTTACACAGGATCTAATCCCAGGGTAATAAATCGATCCCAGTCACAGCCTAATTGCGGGCTCCTTGCACCAGGCACATCTCCCAGCCTTGGGTTTTGTTCGGCCATGAAGGCTTTCTTTGAGCAGCCAGGCTGTGCCCAGTTCAGCCCAGCTGGGAATTTAGCTTTGAAGCCAAATTCAGAACTGGAGCCGCCCTCCCGCCAGGGTTTGTAGGGCAAAGGGAGGGGGTCGATTCCTTGAGAAAGGAGGAAACTTGGTCTGTTGAAATAACCTGAAAATAGACTTGTTTTGACTCCCAGAGCTGTGTCAATAAAGAAACAGCTGGATCCAGGCCAACACCTGGATCCCTCAATTATGCCTTGAAATGAAGGACACTCTTAAGTATTGTCTGGAAATCTATTGTCAGAAAGAAACACATTACCCAGAGGGTCTGTTCTGATAATACCAGTAATGCCAGATGAGGGAATGTGTAAAACAGCCCAGCTCTGCCACTTAACAGCCGTGTGATCCTGGGCAAGTTATTTAACTTCTCTGGGCCTCAGTTTCCCCAGCTACAAATGGGGATAATAATAGCACCCTCTTCATAGGGTTCCTGTGGGGCTCAAATGAGTTTGTACACATAAAGCGCTTCGAGCAGGACTTGCACAGAGTTACTAGTTGTTAAATATCAACATTTGCTATAGTACTGTTATCATTGCTGTTATTACTGCGTGGGCCATTTCCTCAGAATAATACTCCACAGGTGTCTTTAGGGACTTTGGCAACCTCTCAGATTCTATCTATGGTCTCTGGAGGGGTCTGAGACTCAGGGAAAGCATAGGGACTGGTCAGCCAAGGCACCTGGTTCTCTGTTTGATTCTGCTGCTAAGTCCCTGTGTGGCCCTGGGCACATTGCTTTCCCTGTCCAGACACCAGCACCAGTTTTTTCACCTGTACAAGTAGAGTATCGAGTTGTATGTAGGTTTCTTTTAACTCTAAGGTTTTGTGTTTCTGCAAGGTGAGCTTCTCACTCAGCACCCCAAGGCGATCCTTTGCAACTGGAGTTCAGGGTGTGATGTACCACCTTTCTGTTCTTGGGTCCCCATCTGAGCCCTGAGGCCATCCAAGCTTCCCCTACTTGTTTGGTGACTTCACTTCTCTGTGCCTCGGTTTCTTCATCTGTAGCACAGGGACAGTGGTAGGATCTCCCTCATAGGGCTGTCAAGAGGGTTAAATTAATTAATACATATCAAAGGCTTGGAAGAGCACCTGACACATAGTAAATGTTAGCAAGTGCGGTGCTGGACGTTGATACTGATCCCATCATAATAACATGGTCAACATCTAACCTTTATTGAGCGCTCTCTAGATGCAGGTACAAGATACCATCTCACTGGGTTCTCATTACAATCCCCTGAGGCTTTTGCAGAGGAAGAAACAGAATGTCAGAAGGGTGACGTAATTCACCCAAGGCCACCCAGCTGGCCAGTGGCACCATCTGATTCAACCTCCTTATCCAGTCTGAACAGTGCTTACTGCATCCCTCAAGGCATGGTTGAGAATCCGAGGTTTCATTCTTAATTCTGAGGAAGGCGGTGAAGATAATTCTTTTATGGGGCTTTCTAAGCTTTTACTAGGAATGTGTCTCTAGACTCCCCAGAGATAAGCACTCCCTCTCTATCTACTGGAGAAGGTGATGTAAAAAAAAGAAAAGGGTGGTGGTGAGGGCAGTAAAGGTAAGGAACACCCTCTCATGGGAGATAAGGTGGCAGTGAGGGAATTTTCTTTGTGGACCCATGAGATAAGCAGTGCGGGTGTCTCTGCTCTTCTCAAGGTATCTGTGACCTCTGCCTGGGATTTGGCCCAAATCTGCATCTTGGCTTCAGCCTCTGTCTTTGGGAAGCTGACATGGAATGTCAGCCCAGGGTCACTTCTGACATCCCAGGTCATGAGTGTGGCCAGAGGCTATGTGATGACAGAGATTGCCATGGTGCCTAGTCAGCAAGCAAAGTCAGTAATAGGAACAGGGCTTCATTTGGATTCAGTGTCGTGCTCTGAATTCTCACTTCCCAATATAGGAAGCGTCATAGATATAACTCAGAGCCAGCTTCTCCTCTTGTGCTTTAGAGGTTGAAATTCAATCAGACAACTGAAGTTATCGCAGGAGTGAAGTGCTGTGATAATTAATGATTAACGGGAAAGCTGTTCGTTTTGTGTACAAAACAGTTACTAAGAGCGTTCAAGTACTTAAATAAGGAAATCGATTGGCAGTTCAGGTGCACATTAAGAGAGAGTGCCTTAGCTAAATAACTTTTAGGGAAAATATTTTATTCTTTTTTTGGTAAACATTCAAATAATAATACAAAGCAGGGACTTCCTGGTGGCGCAGTGGTTAAGAATCCACCTGCCAATGCAGGGGACACGGGTTTGCAGCCCTGGTCCAGGAAGATCCCACATGCTGCAGATCAACTAAGCCCGTGCGCCACAACTACTGAGCCTGTGCTCTAGAGCCCGCGAGCCACAACTACTGAGCCCATGTGCCACAACTACTGAAGCCCGCGCGCCTAGAGCCCGTGCTCCGCAACAAGAGAAGCCACCGCAATGAGAAGCCCGCGCACCGCAACAAAGAGTAGCCCCCGCTCACCACAACTAGAGAAAGCCCGCGTGCAGCAACAAAGACCCAACACAGCCCAAAAAAAAATTGTTTTAATAATAATACAAAGCAGAATACTAGAGATTAGAGTATATCATCAATCCAATCTTTATAAAATTGATCTGATATACTAGCATTTATACATTTAAATAAAACAGCTTCAAGAACGATATTTACTCTTTAGTTATTTTATTCCCTTTAGGCTATGAGTTTCCCCCTCCATAAACTCAGCTAAAAGTGATGACTGTCTAGTATCCCAGATGTGCAGGTGTCACTGCAGGAACAATCTAGAAGCAGACTGTGCTAAGAAATGTCAAGGGCACCCACTCGAGAATTTGACTATGTTCTTAATAATAAATCTGTACTAATCGTGAAAATGTTGTAACATCCTAGGTTTGTTCTGCTGTCCCAGAAATTTCATTCTTGATGGTGATTGGCCTACACTCTGGCTAAATATTTTATTATGTACCCCCTGGTTTTCATAGAAATGGACAGTGAGTGGGAGAAAAGATCACTGCAGCAAGATGTTCACGTCCAATTCTTGCTGTGGAATGAGTAGGTTCTTTTCAAAAAATGTCTTCTGAGCCCCATCCAGGTGCCAATCCCAGGGCCAGCGGCTGAGGGTGGAACACAGGAAAGGCTTTATCTGTGTCCCAAAGGTTCAGCCCTGTGATTCTCAAACTTGAGATAATTGGAGAGCTTGTTACAGGTGGTTTCCTCACCCAGGAAGTCGTGCTTTTAACAGCTACCCCCTGGGGATTCTGATGCAGTTGATTCAAAGCCCCCCCTTTGAAAATCAGTGGTCTAGAATTCCAGGCTAATACCGTACAGAGGGTTAGGGAGGCCTGGAGTCGGAGCATGTAGGCAACCTTGAGGTTCAGGCAGGCGAGGAGGTGACTCTGGAACGATGAGTAATGTTTAGCCAGGCAAAGGAAGGTGAGAAGGTCCTTGGCAGCCGAGGGCCAGCAGGAACACAGGACTGAGGCGTGGGCAGTGTGCCTGCAGGCAGTTCAGTGTTTCTGGAGGGTAGAGTGTAAGTTAGGAATTGATGAACGATGAGGCTGTGAATAAGGCAGGGACCAGGTCACGGGAGGGCCTGAGTGTCCTGCTGGAGAGGTGACTCTGTCCTCAAGGCAGAGGGAGGACCAGGATGGAGGGAGAGAGGGGGGCAGACAGTTGTGATTGTACTTTCCTGCTTGACACTGGTCACGTGGTAGTGCTCGCATCATCCTCCCATTTCCAGTCCCTAAGTGAGAAAATTGAGGCTCAGAAAAATCAGGGGAGCCAGCGAGATCATGGCGGAGCTGGGCTCAAAGACCTCACCCCGAATTTGCAGACTATTTCCCAGGCAGTGTTTGTCGAACAATTTGCTGCTGGTTCACGGAGCCAGCTGCTCATAGCCCCTGTGTGTTCCTCTTGTACGCCCTCAGCAGCTGGAATTTCTCCTCAGGCCTTGAACTCTGCCGAAAGCAACTAATTTCCAGCCTTCCTGTTTGCCCCGATTGGTACTAGCAATTAAGGGCCAAAGTATATCTCCAGCCTGTGGAGGAAATTGTCATAACCATGGAAGGAATGATGATAGCAGTAAACATACTGAACGATGACAGTATGCCAGTCACCATAGGTTTAGCCCTCCTAGTACCCCTGGAAATTCAGCGCTATTATCATTCCCACTTCATGGACGAGGAAACTCAGGACAAGTCATTTGTACATAGTCCCAAGGTTAGTAAGTGGCCCTGTCCAGCAGGATAGCCTAGGTTTTGCTGCGGTAACAAATGACCTCCACGTCTCGATGGCTTACAGCAACACAAGTGCATTTCTTGCAAGTTGGCTGTGGCTTTAGTCCACACTTCCTTGGTTCTGGGTCCCAGTTGACAGGGTGACCTCTATTGGGAGTGTTGCTGGTCTCGGGGCAGAGCAAAAGGAGACTTACCAGGCGCTGCACTGACTCATAAAGATTTTGCCAGAAGTGACTCATATCCTTTCCAGCTACTGGCTAAAGCGGGTCGTGGAACCACTCAGCTCATCGGGGCAGAGGTGTGTAATTGTTCCATAGGGAGGACCAGTGCAGGAGGGATAACTGAACACCTGGAGGACTGTCATGCACCACCACAGCAGAGGGAGGATTCAAGCCTAGTTTACAGGATTTGAAACCTCACACCAGAACCCACGCCCTTCGTCGCCGTCCTGCCTTCCGCTTTGCTAAATGCCTGTGGTTCGGCCTCTTCCCGCACATCTGAGGGCGTGAATTTCAGTCGTGAAAAACCAGCACCTGTGATCATGGAGGATTGGTTTCCGCTCAGTAGTGAAGCAACGGAGAAGTGCTGTGCTGTACCCCCAGGAGGTGCTTAGGGGAAAGCTGGTTGAGGTGAGCGGGCAGACAACCAAAAAGCATAGCGGGTCTCCCAAAGCCCATCTCAAATCCGACTTCTTTTCACTGACCGGAGGATGAACTGTTTCTTGCTATCATGTATGGTTCAGGAGGCAAGAGATGGGAAGGAAACGGCTCCGGCTGAGTACTGCGTTGTTCTGCTCGCCGACACACAGACGTTCCAGCCTGCTGTCCATTCTCCATAAAAGTTTGTTGATCAGAGGGATGAAGAAGGAATTAATTTAAGCTTTACAAACCAACAGCCTTATGAGGGAGATGTTATCATCCCCATTTTTACAAAAGGGGGAACTGAGTTTCAGGGAGATGGAGTTTCATGGCGACAGCCACTGTCTCGGTCCCCGCTCGCAGGGCCAGCTGTCAAGCTCTGCGCTTGACAGACATTGTTTTTGCTGATCCCCACTGCCACTCAGGAGGAGGGCACTCTTATCCGTGTCCTCGTCTGTGATACGCAGACAATAATAAAACTGCTTCTAGGATAAGATAAACCATTCGAAGTGCAAAGCACAGTGGCAGGCATGTTGGAAGTCCTCAATAAACATTAACCCTTCTTTTATCATCATCGTCATCGGCCGTCGCTCTGTACGTTGAGTTGTTGTCCAAACTCCAAGTTCAGTTCAGAGTTCCCACTGGTAGTGACCGCACTGCCCCACCCTTGTCTCCCATCCTTCTCCTTATTGCCCCAAAGCACCGGGGGCCAGATGTTGGACAGGAAAGTTGGGTTTAGTGACTCCTGGGCCATTCTCAGGATTCACCTGACCCCAGCTTACTCCATATGCTTCCCTTTTGCTACATTTTGTCACTTTCAAATTTCAAGTCTGAAGGGTTCTAGCTATTGCCCCAAGGCCAAGGTGTCCAGTACAGACATTTCTCTAACCCCTCTTTGAAAAGATAAATCTGAAGGAAATTGGTTCCCAAATTCCTTCCAGAGGGAGGTGGGCTCAGATGGCGGAGTGGGGGGAGGGGAAGGAAGGAGTGAGGTGACGATGTCTGTGACTCTATCTGGTACTCATTCTGGGTCCATCTGTATAAAGAGAGTTTTGTGCTTCTTTTGCCACTATTATTATTATTTTTTTTTTTTGTCTTTTCATTATTCAAATTGCAACCCTGTTAGGATGGATCCGTTGGGTAAGTAGCACATCCCACGTACTGGGATTCCCCAGCTGGGTTTTAGAATGTTTTCAGCTTTTTAAAACCATAGATGGGTCCAAGGTAACCTTGGTACCTCGCTCTGCATGACAGAGCACCCAGCACTGATCCCAGTTTGGGGCTTGGTGAGGCGGGGAGGTGTCAGGGGATCCCACACACAGCCAGTCCTAGAGAGCAACCTCTCCCCCCACCCACCCCCAGAACGGCCGAGGCATCCCGGAAGAAGAAAGAAAACCGGAGGAAGTGGAAGCGCTATCTCCTGATAGGCCTGGCGACGCTGGGAGGCGGGACAGTGATCGGTAAGATGAGATGGTGGCACTGGCCAGGGCAGCACGGAGTGAGGGATGATGCCAGGCTGGGAGCAAGAGTGGGGAGTGCAGGGGGATCAGCTGGGAGCCCACCCCTCCTCGCATGCGCGTAGTAGGTGTGTTCACTAGTATTGTCCGTGAGAGGCAGTGGGAGGGAGGCCGGTGGAGGAAGAGCGCAGCAGGCCCCGTCCGCGCTCCCACCTCTACCCACCACGGGCCGCTTTCCTCGCAGGCGTGACCGGGGGTCTGGCTGCCCCTCTTGTTGCTGCCGGAGCCGCGACAATCATTGGCAGTGCCGGGGCAGCGGCTCTGGGCTCAGCGGCCGGCATAGCTGTCATGACCTCGCTGTTCGGTGCAGCTGGAGCTGGCCTGACAGGTAAGGTTCCAAAGGAGTGGTGGCCCAGATTCTCACCAGTGAGGGCTCCCTGGGAGACGGAGGAAGAGGACATGGCTTTTCTCACTCTGAGTCCTGGCACTGCCAGAACGTATAGCGAGCTTCACAGAGAACTGGGTGGATGGCTTGGCCTGGCTCGGGACAAGGCTGAGTTTGAGAAACCGCACCTGGTGTAGACTTCTTAGAAAGGGTCTGATTGGACCTGCTTGTCACCATCTAAGAAGTTTCCAGGCAGGCTGCCTCAGAGACGGTTGAGCTTCTTCTTGTAAGAGGACATATGGCTACCCCTCATTTACCAGCATCCCGTGGGGGAGTGTTTCCAAATCATATGTGTCAGTAGCTCCCCAGTCACACAGAGTTTCCTGTTAAGTGGCATGTTGCTTCCCACATTGAGAATCTTGGTCAGCTCAAACCACTTTCACTGAGAGGAGTGTGTTACACTCCTGAAGTTCGTGGGCGGGAAAAAAATGTAGTACCCACGGAATCAGGCCAGAGCGGTGGTTATGAGCTTGGGCTCTGAGTTTCAGCTCTGCCAGTTGGGGGCTAGCCAGCCTTTGGAAACCTGTTACCTTCATCTGTAGTCAGGATGATAACGGCACCGACCTTAATGAGTTCAAAAACGAGACGTTTGTCAAGGGACAGGGCACACGGTCGGCAGTCACTGTGAGTGTGTGAGTACACAGAGCCACTCTAACGTTCCCCAGGGTCCCCAGTGACCCCCATTCTCACTTTTGTATCTGGTTCTTTAGGATACAAGATGAAGAAGCGTGTCGGGGCCATTGAAGAGTTCACGTTTCTGCCTCTCACAGAAGGCAGGCAGCTACACATCACCATCGCCATCACGGGATGGCTGGCATCTGGCAAATACCGTGAGGACCAGGGGCAGAAAAGGATGCAGAAGCGGGTGGATGTTGGCTGAGCTGGGTCTGTTGCTGTGGGCCAGACCCTGGCCTAGGCTCTTGCCTGTGTATGTCTTTAGGGGGTGGGTAGGGGAGACCTATTTTTCAGAGGAGGAAACTGAGACTCGGAGAGGTGAGATGACTTTATCCCACATCTGTCTTCCCATCCACCCATCCATCATCTGTTCATCCATCCATCCAACTATCTATCCATCTACCCATCTATCCATTATCCATCCATCCATCCATCCATTCACCCACGCATCCACCTATCTATCCATCCATCCATCCATCCATTCACCCATTTAACCACCCACCCACCCACCCATCAACCCATCCTTTCCACAGAGTTTATAGAGCATGTGCCAGACACTGAGCCAGGTCCTAGGAATTCAGCGGTGAGCAGCACAGTCATGGCCTCTGCTCCCATGGAACATGTGGTCCAAGGCAGAAGACAGATCACTGAGCAAGTAATTACAGGGAAGCTTTATGGAAGGCACGATAGGGGAAGCACAGAGTGCTTCTGGGGAGTGAGGGAAAAGTTATTGGAGGAAGTGTCATTTAGGCTAAGGACTGGCTGGGAAGCAGCCAGAGAAGGAAGGAGAAAGAAGTGAATACCAAGCAAAAGGGCAGCATGTAGAAAGGCCTAGTGGTGCAAGAGAAGCACAGGATGGCTTGAGCAAGGAGCTAGAAGACAGGAGTGTGGGTGACACCGGATCACACAGGAGCATGTGAGCTGTGGCAAGGAGTTTGAGTTTATCCTCAGAGCAAGTGGAAGATAGCAAAGGAGTTTCAACACATAGGTGAGAAATCAGTACATCTTGGCTGTGTGACCTCAAGCAACTTACTTCACCTCTCTGTGCCTTGGCCACTTCATTTGTAAAGTAGAACAAATTATCCTTGCCTTTCAGGGCACTTACAAAGATTAAATTAAACAAGGTAACGTGTGGAAACACCTGGTTTTTAGTGACATTCCACAAACGTTATTTCCCTTTACTGCTCTAATTTGAACGTGTGTGTTTTGGGGGGATTCTAACCAGGGTGGCACTGAGGAATAAGGTCATGGTCCGCTTACTGTTGGCTCGCTTTTCCAAGTGCCCAGTGTGAGGCTCAGCAAGCAGGTCGTCAATCAGAGAGAGAACAGGGTGGGCCGGGGAGTCTGGAGCATCCTGACCAAATACACAAGCTCAGAGCCTCCTGGGTTCCCAAATTGTTGGGATCCGAGGGCAGAAGCCACAGCTTTTCTAAACAGCACAGGAGGAGGCAGGTGAGGAAATGCCCAGGCTCTGTTGAGAGGCATTACTGGGCGCCAGAGTCTTATTGGTATGTGTGCACCAGGGCCAGTCCCCAAACAGGGGACTCTCGAACAGTGACTGAGCACCTAGCACCATGAGTCAGGCGTTTCACCCACACACTAGGAGCTTGACGTACGTTACCTCGAGTGACCCTCACATCCATGCTCTGAGGTGAGGGCTGTTCTTACCCTGATCTGGACGAAGAGGAAACCTAGAGGGATCACATGGCAGACAGGTGGCACATGCAGGATTCGAACCCAGGTCTCCTGACCCAGAGTTCATGGGTTTCTCTTCATTTGTTTCATGATACCATCCATGCCACAGAAAGACTGAGACAGGAAGGAAGGAGCAAGAGTCTAAGTGAAGGAATTTGCAGTTCTGACCAGTGTGGAAAGCAAAGCCCTTATGGTTGTTTTACCCACCCCCTTGCTGGGCTGGCCCCAGGGCAAAATCAAGTTCATTTGCGGCGGGGCCGGGGGAGGGGGGCGGGGGGGCCATTATCGTGCAATATGCTCCCTAGGCAGAGGCGGTGGTTACAAGAAATGTAACCAAGGTAGGTGAATGAAGTTCAGGAGGGAAATGAGTCACCTTGTCCTGCCTCCTTGATGGCCAGGAAAGAAGTCTCGTGTCATCACAGGCTGGCTTCCGTGTGTGATGGGAATATATGGGCTTTCTTGCCCCTTTATTAACTAGGATTGTTTGTAATCATGATTATGGCTCTGTAGCTCACCACTAAGCCAGGCATTTTTGCATGCATTGGCTCACTTAGTCCCTCACTTCAAGCCACGGATGTGGGCATCATTATCACCCCCATTTTACAGATGAGGAAACCAAGGCTGATAAGGGCTGCCCAGGGTCGCCTCGCTAGTCGGGAACTGGGGCACGACTCACCCCCATTCTGTCTGGCTCCATAGCCCATGTTCTTGGCCACAGGGTGATAGAATGCAGTACTGCACTTTACAGTTTACATAATGCTTTTCGTGTAGCCTCTCACATGATCCCCACAACACCTGTGAGTCAGATGCCATCGTTCCATTTTAACAGGTGTAGAAACTGAGGCTCAGAAGGGCAGCGTGCCTTGCTTGTGAGTCTTGCAATTCTTGCAACCACCACACACACACACACACACACACACACACACACACACACACACACACACACACAATATCTGTGCCCGCATCCTGTCTCGGGCTGGCCGTCTCCTCCTCCATAACTAGAGACAGTTAATCCCTGAGCTGCTGCAGACCTGTGACAGACTCTCTGCAGAGCGGGGAGCAGCCCCTCAGTGGTCTGCATGTCAGCGGAGCACCCTCGGGTAGGGACGAAGCCTTCAGGTCGGGCAGGTCGAGGCATGTGGCTGAGCCAGAACCCGAAGCCTCTGGGAAGCTGGCTCCACTATTCATTCATTCATCCTGTGTTCATGAGGCTTTGGGAATCGAGGCTTGGCAGACAGACTGCAGGACAGACGTGCACTAAACAGATGACACAAAAATAAATGGAAAATTGCAGACTGTGACGAGAACTCAGGACGCAAAAGTGCAAGGTGCATTAGATCCCCCTTGTCAAAGGGGCCGGGAAGCTTCCCCGGGGATAAGGCGAGTGAGCTGGAAGCTCAGAGACAAGTAAGGGTGGAAGGTCACTTGGGCCATGGGCAGAAATGCACGGGGCCCCTCGATGCTCCCACGGCCCAGAAATGAGTGACTACATGATGTTTGCATGGCCCTCTCCCTCCCCAGGCTGAGAGCACTTTATCTGGATGGCTCAGCCTCCTCAGCTATAAAATGGGGCTAATTGTGGAGCCCCATTTCAGAGACTGTGTTGAGGTAAATCAGAGAGTGCATGGGAAATCCCTCAGCACAGAGCTGCCCAGCACTTAGTACTTGCTCACTAAACGTTTCCTACCATGATGGGTGTCTGTATCCTCAGGGTCAAGCGCCTGGCCTGGCATAGTCTAGGTACTCAGTTAAGGTTTGTGGTATGAATGAATGAAGGAACGAGTGAACGAACACAATCAAAAGCATGTGTTTCTGGAGGGTAACCTGATGGTTGCTGAGGCTGTGAAGGAGGCAGGGGCCAGGTCACAGGGGGTCTGAGAGTCCTGCTGGAGAGGTGACAACATCCTCAAGGCAGAGGAAGGACTAGGAGGGAGGGAGAGAGGGAGGCAGACAGTCATGGTTTTATTTTCCTGCTTGACGTTGGTCACGTGGTTGGTACTGTCATCATCCTCCCATTTCTAGTCCCTAGGTGAGAAAATTGAGGCTCAGAAAAATCGGGGGAGCCAACGAGCTCATGGCAGAGCTGGGCTCAAACACCTCTGCTCCAGATTTGCAGACTATTTCCCAGGCCGTGTCTGTTGACTGAGATGCGCCCGGTTCAGGGAGCCAGCTGCTCGTGGCCCCGTGTGTTCTTCTTGTGTGCTCGTAGCATCCTCGATGCCAGAATTACTGCAGAGTGAGAGAAAATAACACTTGACACACACGGTAGTTGGAATACTTGGTTCTTATAACTACTCTATGAAAAGAGATAAATACTAATCTCCCGACTTGACAGCTAAGCAAAGTGAGGCTTAGTGTGGGATAGTGACCCAGGGTGCCCGGGGTCGCCCAACTGCTAATGAATGCAGGAGCTGGGTCTCGAACCCCAGCCTGCTGTCTCACAGCGCGGCCCTGTGCTCTGTCTGGGAGCGCGTCTGCTCTGCTGTCAGCTGCCGTTCAGTGGCGGGGGTGGGTCTCTTGTCTCCCCGCAAGGGTGAATGGGCCCCTGTCGCCGACCGTCTGGGAAAGGGTGAGAGGCCTCCTCTGTCACAGGAGAGACCCCACCTACCTGTGCTCTCCCCAGGCACCTTCAGCGCCCCGTGGGCTGCCCTGGCCCACAGCCGTGAGCAGTACTGTCTGGCTTGGGAAGCCACGTACCTGATGGAGCTTGGCAACGCCCTGGAGACCATCCTCAGTGGTCTTGCCAACATGGTGGCCCAGGAGGCCCTAAAATACACAGTGTTGTCTGGTAAGCCTCCCCTCACCCCCACCAGCAGCATTCCCACCACTCCCAAGCCACACTGGTTCTGTACCTTTGCATGCCTGAGGCCCCCAGTGAGCCAGGCACAGTGCTGGTCTCCAAGAACACAGAGAGACAAAGTTTATGGTCCTTATAGGGAGGAGACAGATAAACAGCCCATCACATTATCACATAGTGTGTCAGTTAGCAATTGCTGCATAACAAACAACCCCATAACCCAGTGACTTAAAATAACAACCATTTATCACAGTAGCTCAGAAGTGTTGAGGCTTCATTTGGCTGACCTTTGCTGGGCCTGCTTATGCATCTGTGGGTCAGCTGACTGTCCACTGATCTAGGCCAGCCTTGCCTGGGGCAACCAGCACAACTCGGCTCTGCTCCATTTGTCTCTCCTCCCCGTCCTGGGATCGCAGGCTATCCCACACCCACAACAGAAGTGCACTAGAGGAACAAGTCCATTTCAAGCCTCGCATCCAGTAACATCTCATTGGCCAAAGCAAGTCACATGATTGAGCCTAGAGTAGATGGGCAGGGCAGGAGCAGGGGGCATTGCAGAGTTATGAGGCCAAGCAGGAGGATACAGGGTGGAGTGACAAATTGGGGCCATCTCTGGAATCTCACACATGGCAGATACTTAAACATAAGGGATCTAGGCCATGTATCAGAAATGCGTGAGCTTCAGTTTTCTTCTGTACTACTTAGCAGTTTGACCACACGTGGAAAACTTACAGATTCCAAGTTAGAGACTCTGGATGCATTCACTCAGGCATCCGTTAGCCAGCTGATCACTTCCCTAGAAGGACCCCCCCCCCGCCCGTGCCACCACGGCCTTCATCACCGATATCCCTCCTCCCCAGGCCTTGTGGCTGCCCTGACCTGGCCAGCCTCACTCCTCAGTGTTGCCAATGTCATCGACAACCCCTGGGGTGTGTGTCTCCATCGATCAGCAGAGGTTGGCAAGCACCTGGCCCACATTCTACTCTCCCGGCAGCAGGTACCTGGGAATAGCTGGGGCGAGGAGTGGGGGGAGCGGGCAGGGGGCGAGGAAGCAGGGAAGCATGGGGGCTGACTTGTGCACAGACGTCATACCTGAGACAAGCCCACGTGGGGGTAGCCCAGTGGCTTTGGGGGGTGGGGGGTGGTCGTCACTGCTCCTCCAGTTCAAGTCATAAAAGCACCCTAGGGGGCCTTCCCTGGCGGCCCAGTGGTCAAGACTCCACGCTTCCACTGCAGGGGCCACGGGTTCGATCCCTGGTCAGGGAACTAAGGTCCCACAAGCAGCACAGCGTGGCCAAAAAGATAAAAAGTGTCCTAGGATGGACCAGTAAGAATTACAGGCTGTGCATCTCTAGCAAGCAATCAGGTGAAAACTAACAGGCCTCTGCAGGTGTGGACAAGGCCAGCTCTTCCTTTCCAGAAGTATAGAGCTACCCTCTGAGCAGATCTACAGTGGCCCAAATACCACGTAAAACAGTTAGGCTTCCATCCACATTCCAGACAGTCCGAGGCAGGAAAGTAGAAGGGAAGGGCCTTTCACATCCCTTGGCCAGGACTCAGCCCTGCGGCTATCCCTGGCTACAGGGCAGTTGGAGAAACTTCCTTTTTGGCTGGGTAGCTGTGGGCCCAGAAAAACTCAGGAGTTCTGTTACCAAGGACAGAGGGAGAATGGGTGTAGGGTGATGACTGGTAGCCTTTGCCACAGAGTTCCTGCAGAATTGGAATATTGTCTAATGGAGGGTCTTCCATGGCAGTAGATGGAGGTAGGGGGGAGGGTGGGGGGAGGGTGGGTACATATACCGGCCCAAAAGCAAGGGAAAGGAATGGAGTACTGAGACCAGCTGGACCTTTGGAACTCATCTGCCCTCTCCCTCCATGTAGAAGTTGTACCCAAATACCTTTCATGACTTTCTTTTTCAAGTTGCCTTTCCTACAAGTTCTTGAGTCAGAAAATTCCTCTTCGCATCTAACTTACAACCTCCTCTTATAGCATAAGGCCAACATTTCATGTCCCCACTTCCTATCTAGGAACAGAACAGTTGTGTCCCCCCACCCCATGTGACTCTTTGCCTTTTTCTCCCATCACACCCGGGGTACCTCCCGCCTCCTCTCTCGGCTCCAGAAGGGCCCCGCTTCACTGCAGTCATTTGCCACAGGTGGATGGGGAAGGAGCGACGGCCACTGGGTAATGGTTTGAGATAAAACCAGGGAATTAACCCAGCCAGATGCTGCCTGTCAACCTGGGAAGAAGCCGGTTCCTGAGCAGGTGCCCTCCTGCATAAATGAAGCCCCAGACTCTCCTGATGAAGACATCAGAGCCTGGGGCCGGGAATAGCACAGGCGTGATTCATTAAGCGGGAGGCAGGTGCTGAGAAGTGTGCAAGGGCCACCGTCATTGGGGCTGATGTTTTTCTAGAACTGGCTGTGCACCATGCCCCCAACACCTGTGTCCTTTCTCCCCCAGGGCCAGCGGCCTGTCACCTTGATTGGCTTCAGCCTGGGAGCCAGAGTCATCTACTTCTGTCTGCAAGAGATGGCTCAGGAGAAAGGTAAGGCTGGCCCATTGTCACAGGTGAAAACACTCCGGAGTCCATCCCCCAGGCCAGAGGTTCTGCACTAGAGGTCGCGAGTCTTGTGACTGTGTTCCCAGATCTTAGAGTTTAAAACAGCTTGAAAAAGAAAAAACAGTCATTTGGAAAATTGTTTATTTCTTCCGTACGTAAATTAGAGTGGGTGTGAGACAGTTTTATAAAAATGGCCTTTGCGTTCTGATGCGGGTTCTTGAGTGGGAGGGGAGTGGAAGAGTCCGAAATCGGGGTGTTGGCAGGGCCGCGCTCCCTCTGAAGGCTCTAGCGGAGAGCCGCGCCTCTTCCAGCTTCTGGTGGTGGCCGGCAGTCCTAGGCTAGCAGACGCCACGTTCCATCCTGCCTCGTCTTCACATCACCTTCTCCTTTGTGTCATCTCTTCTCGCCTAAGGACAGTGTCAGTGGCTTTAGGGCCCACTCAAATCCAGGATGGCCTCATCTCAGGATCCCTCACTAATTACATTTGTGTGATTTAATTACATCTGCAAAGACGCCTTTTCCAACACCTGTTACCAAGGACAGAGGGAGAATGGGTGTAGGGTGATAACTGGTAGCCTTTGCCACAGAGTTCCTGCAGAGGTGGAATACTGTTTAATGGAGGGTCTTTTCCAAGTAAGGTCTCACTCCCAGGTTCTGAATGGACACATCTTTTGAGGGGGCCACCATTCAACCCACTACAGACACCTTTGGGAGTGTGTCATGCCATCCGAACACATACTTTCAGTGTTGATGCAGTGGAAAGCCTGGTCTCGGGTCGGTGTGGCCTCCAGGACTGAATGCCGGTTTGGGGCAGATCTGTCACGAGGGGCTGCCATAGCAAGGGGTTAGGGGGGTGAGGTGCAGAGCTCAGGGCACTTGGGGTGGCCCACCGTGCGTGGGACCCGGGCTAACCTCTCTCCTGGTGTAGCACAGCAGCAGCAGAGAGAATTCCTTCTCTGGATGGGGGGAAGTAGCAAAGAATTTTCAGCAGTCTTTAACGCACATTTTGCTGGTCAAAGCAAGTGACAGCCAAGCCCTAGGTCAGTGGGGTGGGCAGTGCCCGCTGCCCCTTACACTCCTTCTGTCCACAGCGGAGGACGAGGGGAGCAAATGTTTGCCAAACGACTGACTCGGGGATGAAGGAGGGCATGGGCTTTGCAGGCAGCCGAGACCTGGGTCTGAGTCCTAACTCTGCTCACCTGGGGAGCCTGGGTTGGGTAAGGACTCAGCCTCCCTGGACATCGGTCTCTCCCTTTGCAACAGGAGGTTCTTGTCACCTCTGGGCAGTGTCAAAGGCCAGAGAGCATGGAGGTCAGGCAGCCGGCCCAGTGCTGGGTCCTGGTCAACACAATTGTAGCGGCTTTTAGGCTGAAGTATCTCTGCCGGTGTTGGGGGTAGCTGCGCTCGCCCCCTGCGCTCTAGAGCTGTTGCCGCCAGGGAGGCCCCTGGCAAGTTGTCACGCTCTGCGCTGTCATCGTTTTGCTCCTTTCCTGGTCATCCCTCCCCCAGTCCACGCAGCAGACCCATCTGCCAGGCTCCTTATCACCTGGATGACGTGGTCTGGGGGACAAAGGCGTGTCTTTGGCTCCAGTTAGCATAAATTACATGTTAACTTCAGATCATTAATATAAGCCAAGTCTCCAGTTCCCCTCCTGAACAAATTAATTACCATTGACCATCTGGACACGGCCATTGGAACTGATGTCCCCATCAGCTGCCTCCGGCAGCTGAGGCCGGAAACCGGTGGGAGGGAGATGCTCCGCCCTCAGCCCTTGGCGGGTGGTTCTCAAAGCAGCTTCCTTCCCGCCTCTTTCCTGGCCGCTACTCCCTCCCCTGGCTCTTCATAGCCCACCACTGAGAACTGGGGCTTTGGTATCAGGCAGACCTGGATCTGGGTCCCAGCTTCATCACTGACGAGCTGTGGCACCTTGGGCAAGTCACTTAACCTCTCTGAGCCTCAGCTTCCTCATCTGAACGTGGGACTTAGTACACTTACCTCGAAGGCTCTTCAAGTGATTAAAACGAGACGATGAATGTGAAAGTACCTGCTGCAATTTGGGTTCACTCGGTAAACGCTTCTTCCTCTAATCTGAGGACCTACTGTGCACGGGGAACTGTGGTGAGTGTCGTGTAGACGGAGGCGCTTGTCGTTTTCTGTCTACTTTCTGGCGCACACGTTAGATGGTGAATTCCAGGCAGGCGGGATCTGCCTGTGCCCCACCACCTCTCCGGCACATGGCACGTTCTGAGAGCTCGGGAAGGTGGGTGGACTTGACTTCGGGCTGACAGGCTCAAGAGCCTGGTGCAGACTCCCCGTGTGCCGGGCCGTGCACTGTGCAGGATCTCGGTCTCCCGGCAACCCCCTGGGAGGTTGTTATTCTTCCTGCTTCCGGGATGAGAAACTCAATGAGGCTGCGAGGGAAAGCCAGGCGGATCCTAAGAGCCAGAGCCGGGATTCGACGCCAGGGTGTCTGGCTCCAGGGCCCTCGCTCGTAACAACTGTGCTATACTTTGCAGAGGACCCAGACCTTGAACGTGGGTGGGGCTCCTCCAGAGGATCTAGAGGGAGGGGAATTCCAGAGAGTCCGGCCCGCAGGGAAGAGGAAGGGCTCTCAGAGTGTCTGAAAACGTTGAGTCTAGTTTTTCTGCAGCCTGTGAGAGGGGACCAAGGTGGAATGTGGGAAACGGTTAGGACAGGAGCCTGGCACAGGTCTCGAATGCCGGGTTAAAGTGCTGGAACCGACTGGTTAGACGCTCGGCCTCTGAATTGTGGGACGAATGAACAGCTGAGCATAGTCCTGCAGAGGGAGGCGCTGGGGGCAGGGGGTGGTCAGTGCTGGGCAGCTTGTGGTTGACCCCCCTACCCCCGTGCACACATTCTCTTTCGCACACACACACACACACACACACACACACACACACACACACGGCAGCAACTCAGCCGACCCCAGGGCCTCTCCTGAATGGATGGGAAGCTTCCCAAATAACAAGAATTGGGTAGGAATCTGAATAGAAGCCCAGCGGCCAAAAGTGCAGCTGGTTTTCTCCCCATCCGGTCACCTTCCGAAGGAGGAACTCACGGCCAGAAGACTCTGAACAAGAGTCTTTATTCTTGATCAGCCTGATAGTTTCCCCTACTTAATAACATCCCATCCCACCCTGTGTCTGGACGGGAGGTAATAAAGGACCCTGGTAACCTTTGCCCTGACCTTGGTCAAGAACCCTCCAAGAAGGGGTCTGCCCCTCAGCTGGTTGAGGCTTATTCCAGATGTAAACAGCAGCTGCTCTCACGTGGGGGGAGCTGGGGCCCGCTTTCTCTCTGGGGCAGAAGAAGGCTCCCCGTGCCATGGGGCACAGGCACACTGTCTAACCCTGCCGGCCTTCTCAGCTCCTCCAGGTGGACGGCAAGCCCCTGATGCCAGGCCTCAGAGCCGTTTATTTCCCCAGTTTCCCTCTTCCTTTCCGGAGATTATGTAAGGTAACTCCTGGTGGCTTATAGAAATGGGAAGTTGGAAACAAAACACACCCACGTGCAGAGGGGAACTGAGGGGTCCTGAACCCGGGAGCTGGGCGCTTGTGCGTGGCCTCCCTGACGGCCCCCTGGGGGGCCTGGGCCCAAGGCCACCCAGACCACGAAGTAAAATGAATAAAAACATGGACGTACACACACTCATAAAAAGAGGCTCAGATTCCTGCGTGTTGAGTGTGGCCCTCATCTTCCTGTGTTCTCTTTCTCTGTCATCCCCCGTGTCCCCTTGCCAGCCATCCAGGGAGCCTCTGGCCTTCAGGGCTTTACCACTTACCCCCCGGTCCCCGCCCATCAACAGACGGGGGACCAGACACAGCTGGAAGGATGGCACAGATGCAGGCCTTTGCGTCATTAGGTGACGGGGCCACACAGCTCTTCCCCACCGAGAAGATACCAGCTCAGGTGCTGCAAATATGTGGGCTGTGGAGCCAGGGCATCTGGTTTGAATCCCACACGCACTGCTAGGTTCACCTACCCGCTCTGAACTCCAGGTGACTCGTGTGAAACACAGGGAATGATAATAGTATTGCCATCAAGGTTGTAAGGATTAAATGCAATAGTGCATATAAATGCTGGCATATAAGAGCCTGGTAATTCTTACTGAGCATTTATATTATGCTAAAATCTGTCTTAAGCTTTATAAAAGGGAGCTGGCTTGGAATTTCCTGGTTGTCCAGTGGTTAGGACTCCACGCTTTCACTGCCGAGCACCTGGGTTTGATCCCTGGTTGAGAACTAAGATCCCACAAGCCATGCACGGCACAGCCAGAAAAAAAAAGGGCGGGGAGCTGGCACCTAGGGTTAGAGCACCACACACACACAGGTGACCTTGTCCCTGGACCTTGTTGAGGGAAAATCAGCCTCCCACCAGCGTGGGTGCCCACAGTGTCTGTTCCTTTCTGTTCCTACACCCGCCTTGCCCCCTCTTCCTAGACAACCCCCTCCCAAGTCCTGGCCTTGTGTTACTGATGGCGCACCTTCAAGTCTCCAGCTGGCTGTCTGTGGTTGTGAATGAATTATTCACCCTTTGCCCGGAGCTGCTCTTTCACAGCTAATTCATTCCAGCTCAGCTGTCTGGTTTCAGGCAGCCGTGCTTGTTTAACACCCAATTAATCTGCACACCAAGGAGACCCTCTCCTAATTGCAGGAAAGCTGTCATTATCTGAGTTAGGGGAATGTAAAAGAGGAATTACTCTAATGCAGTTGAATCCACTAATTGTTTTCTGGGTTCCCTTGAGACCAAGTAATGAAATGTAGCAATAAATCCTAGAGTCACACAGAGTACAGAATCCTTCAGCTAGCCTACCCCCACCCCCTGCCCCCTCCTAGCTGCAGCCCATCCTTTTTCCCTCCCCCAAGAAAAGCTGCCTGTAGCATTAACTATCTGACAGTTTCATTTCCTTTTTGGGCCATGTTGCAAACAGCAGGGGGTTACTGCTTAGGGGATATGCAACCAT